TTTGAGCAATTCGCTCAGCAGCTTAATGAGAAGATTATGGCGGCAGGATTATACATTTGCTGGTGAAATAGCCGACCAGATTGAGACAGATGGGCCGATGGCATTCTTGAAAAGCCGAGTAAGACCGGCGATCAGAATCTTAAAATGGCCATCTATCAAATCCTCCTAAAACTCGCTGCTAAAGCTGTCAACCGCCACCCAACTCGATTGGGGTCAAAACTGGGGTATCAATGGAAACATCGGCAAGGGAATGAGGCTATAACCAAAATCACTGAAATCAAAACAAGACTTGGAGACGGTAAAAATCAGAGCCAGGCAGTAAGATTTGCAGGTATTGGAGGAGGTGAAGCTGCAGATTCGCCAGCTTAACGACACTCTCAACACAGAAATTGAAAAGCAGATTGATGGGAATTTGAGGGTGCTGATTCAGATCCTCGTAAAGTTCCGGATCTCATGACGAATTACCGTGACCATGTAGGAGATGGTGGTTTTCCTAGTGAGACCAGTGTTCAGGGGAATATTAAGAAACTTCAAGAGACAGCACTGAACCTCTCAAAAACTTGGCAGATAAAATTAATGCCAAGAGCATCGGGAGATGCTAACATCGTTCGCGCCAACCTAGGAAGACTGTGTACTGCCATTCTAAATGCGGCATCTGCACGTAAAGACAGCGCACACAAAAAATTGGGCGAGCTGAAAACTTTGATTTCACGAGGAAATACCGACGTTGACAACACTCTTAGCAAGTTGAGAGAAGGTCTCAACAATCTTAGAGTAAAGACGTTGTTCCCGTTAATCCAACAGGCAGAGACAATCACTGAGGAAGCCTCAGTGCATAGCAAAAAAATGATCTGGTATATTGAGCACCAAGTGACTCAACAACTTAATGGAGCTCGGGATACGATCACCCAAGCCCTCCAAACTAAATACGTTCTCTTCCTGAAATCCCAACTCACGGAGTTCTCCACGAAATGTCAAAGTGAATTGAATGACCTACCGCGCAGATCACCGCGGACGCCGAAAAGGGCTTCAAAGGCTTCATGGGGGTGCTCCACGAGAAATTAACGGAAATTCAATTGCCTACGAATTTGGATGGCAACTCCAAACTGAGAGATCTATCTCCCAGAACAAAAGCCTTCTTCAGTAGCCTACTTGACACTCTGAACGGCAATAAGGACATCATGGCCAAGCCTCTAAAAATCAACGAGCTTTCTGCATCTCTCAACATTCTATTCGCTGACCTCAATAAATACAACAGAGATTTCCAAGATCACCTAGCCGCATTAGGCAGACTCATTCGCGATATGCGTCCCACATCTTACAATGACGAACGCAATCCTTTGTTGCAAATACTTAGGGAGGCGTCCATCTATTGTACAATCAGCTTGAAATGGCGTACGTCTCATCGTACGACAGTGAGCAAATCACCTGGGAATATAACTCCAGGCCGACGCCCGAAGCAAACAAATGCGTCAAGGTTCTCTTGACAATAATAAGCATTGTTCTCAGTGGTCTATACAATGTTAAGAGTGGGGTGGAGAAAGACAACCAGAAAACGTATAAAATATATAACACCAATTCTTCTCGGAGCCTTCACGCTTTGCTCTTTTCCCAACATGGCTACGATGATAGGCGGCACGGCAACGCAGAACACGGCGAACTGAATCATAAAGACAATATTACTGCCGAGCAAATTAAAACATTACTTGCGACATCCTTAAGTCTCACGAACAATAAAACGCTGCAAGACTGGAAGACAAAGAACAAGAAAAGAACGACACGGAAATCATTCTTGTCCTTCAATTCCTTCACCACCATATAACCACTTACAATAGCGTTTCTCACCTCCAAATCCACAAGTCACCTAAATATCCTTGCACTGTTCGTGATATGTTGGCGTGGACTGCTGGACTTAAGCATAATACTGTGTTCAGCATAATTCCACGGCATTGCAAAACACTGCTTGATGATGACGTCAATAAAGGCGACGATGTCATGAGGGAATGCATCAGCAACCTGTATGTCAATGTTGCACTTACATGTGACATTTCGTACAAAGCCCTCATCACAATCCAAGGCCACGGCCACGGCTCCCAGACCGCTGATTATCCATACGCTTGTAATTTCCATGATAACTCACTAAACTTCTATTACCCTCAAAATGCCACCGAATTAATGGACATGTTAAAAGATATTTGTACACGTTTATTACGTTCACTCTGTTTCCTACATTCACAATGTAAGTACACAGCGGGTGAAGGTAACGGCTGGGCCGACTGTCATTACGGCCGCAACGTGTCAGGTAATCAGTGGGATAACCGTAGGCCTAGCAGCCAAGCAATCACCCAACCAAACGGTCAACCAAATCCCCAACCAAACTGTCAACCAAAATCCCCTCTACAAGCTTGCCTAACAGACTGTTTACCGGGGTGCTTACCACATAAATTAATGTCCGTTGGGTGTTCATCAAAATGCTTAACATGCCCTAAGAATTCACCAGGGCAGCAGTGTATTACCCCTATGGGCTTTTGGGACTTGAGCGATGCGGCGTCTATTACAAAAAATGGTAACGTTATATGCAAGATCTTAGAAAGCATATGCGGTGATGCGTCCTCAATTCTGCCCACACTACTCAACTCCCTTATGTGCATATCGCCAATGCCGCCGAAATCGTTAGCAGATCAATTTTCTTTTTTCGCAAACGTATCCAAAGACTGGGCTGCTGGCAGATATACTGCGAATACCGATTTCATAACTCATATTCTTTCGAACACTATTCCATCGATGTCAATAAAGTTGTATGAGACAGAGGCATTCGAATTCACGCAGCATATTCAATCATTATCCGGTCCAATGTTTAACCACCCAGTCAAAGTTACGGATACGTCAAAGCACTCAGACTTATATAGCCTTTGCACGCATGTTGCAACAGATTCGGCACGTGGATGTCCTGCATCCAACTCGCATTGCGGTCCATATATGCGACCTCTCAGTCTCGACATTTATCACACATATGCTATTAAGCACGCAAATCTGTGTTTGTCGTGGATTACATATTTGGCATTCGACTTTTACAATCTTCTGAAGGCGCTGATAGAGGACTTCTGCAACATTGATTGTAGAGCCTGCGGATGTTCAAAATGTAAGTGTCCCATCGGCAAACATGGTGTAGAAAAAGACTGCACTTGCAAAAGTGTCGTGCACTGTAATGGTGTTACGATGACACTCTATCGGTATGGATTCACTTTTGGTGATTCTATGAATTTAATGAAAAATCCCGACAGTAAGTCATGCCGTGATTTCCACACTCAGCTCAGCAATGTCATCGGCTCCACGCATTTTAGCACATTACTGGAGTCATGTGATAATATAATATATTACATCCGACATCCCTTCATGTTATTATTGTTAGCCCTCTGGTCGCTGTCGCTCCTGTACCTGCTGCACATCGCCGTCGTCCGCCTCGACGTGCTGAGGATACGCTCCCACCTGAGATCGCCCTCAAGCCACCGCATCGCCGCGCAGTCCCTCCTCGCCGCCGCACGCGTTGGGAGAATAGGCAACGTCAAGTACTTCTCACCATAAGAGTGCCTTCACGTGTGATCTGTGTATCACCCACTCACCCACTCACCCACTCAACCACTCACCCACTCAACCACTCACCCACTCAACCACTCACCTAATCACCCACTCAACCACTCAACCACCCACCCACTCAACCACCCACTCACTCACCCACCCACCCACTCAACCACCCACTCACCCACTCACTCACTCACCTAATCACTCACTCACTCAACCACTTACCCACCCACTCACCCACTCAACCACCCACTCACCCACTTACCACCCACTTTACCACCCACTCATCTCACTCAACCCACTCAACCACCCAACCACCCACTCACTCACCCACTCACTCACCCACCCACTCACTCACCCACTCAACTACTCACTCACTCAACCACTCAACCACTCAACCACCTAATCACTCACTCACTCACTAACCCACTCAACCACGCACTCACTCACTCAACCACTCACTCACTCAACCACTCAACCACCTCCTCTCTCACTGGTCGCTTCGCTCCCTGCCTTCACCCTCCTCCATCACCTCCTCCGTCGGCGTCCTTCACCCAAATCCTCATTTTCCACTTTCTCCCTCCACCCCTATACCGCCTTACTTCAACCCATCTTCCTCCTCCATCGCCCTCTTTCGCCCCTTCACCTCCCTCACCCTGTCCACCCACCTCCCTCGCCCCGTCACTGCGTACTGCCTCCTTGACCTAAAATCGCCTTTTCCCAAATTTCTCCAAATCGCCCCAAAAATGTGCCTAATAATTCCCATAATATCCTTACTAACCTGTGCTCTGGCTTGGAGAAGTTCCTTGGATACCAAGAAACTTCCAAAGGTTACGATGGCTCCGGCATCGTGTACTCCGACCTTGACAGGCTCTGCGACGGGGTGATGTCTTTCCTTCATGGTGTTTTAGATAACATTAAGCCTAAATTAGGCTTGCATAGTCATCACATTAATGAAGCTGTAAGCCTTCTTGAAGCCAATAAACACTCTGGTAAAGACGGTTTTAATACTGCGATTAAAGCAGTGGTCAAGGGGGTGAAGGGGTATAATGAGGGTGTCAAGAAATCCAATCAGGAAGTTAAATCTGCAGTAGAAGCTTTACAAAATAAGGTAAGTGATACATTTGTTAGAGATGTAAAAAATATTTTGCAGGACAAGTTTGATGAGAGGACGAAGCAGAAGATGGAGCACAGTGCTCAAGAAATCAAGTCGGCGGAGACTCTCATCGGTGGAAAACTGGAGGACTGCGAGATAAACGCTTCGGCGTTTGTAGATTCACTTAGCAGACATAGCGAAACTATTGATAATTTTAATAATACTTTATGTAATAGAGTGCGTGGCGTAATTAGTAGTGTAGAACATGAGAAAGTGCGACTGCATGACGTGGCGGCGAAGGAGAAAGACATCTTAACGGCGGCGACGGACAAGATTGGTGATGCATTGAACAAACTGAAATGTAGCGTTAACGATAAGATTAAAGTAGACGTTGGGAAGCTTGTCAAAGAGGTGAAGGAGGCCTTAAAGCCGATATTGGCGGATCTTAAAAACATTGGAAATTTGCTTAAGGGATATATTAACGATTTGACGGAGTGGATTGCTAAGGCTGAGAAAGCTGTGGAAGAATCGTTCAAGCTTGTGCAGGAGATATTAGATGCTGTTAGAGAAGACTCTACGTTCAACAATGTCAAGGACATAAAGGGGGCGGCCCAGAAGATTACGCAAAAAGCCGAACAGCTTCAGGGGATTGCGACCTTTGGCAAAACGGAAGTCGACACATTAGTCAAAAAAGCCCTCACGGCCGTGAAAGCGATGGACGGGCAGCTGAAGCAGGATTTGTTTGGGGTGAAGACGGAAATAGGGAAGAAGGTGACGGATATTAAGGAGGCAATTGGGAGGCTTTATGGAATTGTTAAGGATGGAAATCCGGGAGAAGGGGATGATAATCAGGAAATTGCAGGGGTTATCGGTCAAATTCGAGAAAAGGTTGCGGAGATTAAAAATCCGCCAAATGGTCTGCATGGAATTGTTGGTGAATCCGGCAGTTATAAATCTAAAATCATCGACGTTCTTACTCCCCTAAATAGCAAAGCCCTTGAACTCACTAAGCAGTTCATCGACGCGCAGGCGGCGGAGCTGGAAGAAAAGATAGAGAGGCAGCTGGAGAGCATGCCGGCAGACATACACGCACAGCATAATTCCGATTTCGGACGGTTTAAGAGTGAAATTGCTGAGCTAAAAATCCAATCTAATTTGCAGCTTAGCATCAGCGGTGAACAGAATATCGAACATCGTCAGAGTCAAATTGAGGCAAGAAAGCTTCGGTTGAGTGAGGTGCGTAGAAGCATTGTATCTGCAATAAATAGCGCAAACGATGCTTGGCAGCGCAAGATACATGCTGTATTGTCGCCGTTGCATTCCAAAGTGAACACTATACAAACCCTTCAGGCCACTGACGTTAAATCTGTACTAGACACAGTTTGTCAACAAATTAATGAGCTAATTAAACTTGCCAAATGCGTTAGTGATGAGCAGTGGAAAGGTGCTAGAACTGACTGGAACAATTTTAAACAGTATGTTGATCCGCTCAAGCTCCAGGTGGACCGGCATGTTGAGGAATATAGGCAATCCGGGAATCAGCATGTAGGTTATGCAGCGCAATTGTCTCAGCAGTTGCCTTCAGAGTTAGTACGCCAAGTCCATGGTGTTGTCCCCGGTGCTTACCAATGCGCTAACAGAATCTCTGGTCATCTTCAAGGTGTCATCGCTTCCCAAAAGGCCAACCAACCACAAAGTCACGGCCGCGGATTGCCGACTTGGCCACAACAACATTACCGTAGTGCCTACGGCGGCTATAACAGTTACGCCGGAGGACAGTATCAACCTTACGCCCAACAGCTGTCTCTAACCGATGCAAACAACGCGCCCACGCTCGACACTCTCCTCAAGCAGTTCGAAGACAATGTTAAAGCGGAACTCTCCAGATTAACTAAAAGTGTCGGCAAGACACCCGCCGAAGTAGGCAGCGTCTACAAAGAATTGGACGCCGTTAAAATCAACGTTGACGGCCTGAACAGTAAGCTCGAAGCGGCGACTGGACAATCCGCCGGCTCCCCGACTAACCACGCCCAAGCCGTCGACACCGCGATCCAGCAGGTGACCAGCACGCTCGACGACCAGCTGCCGAATGGCGACGGTGAAAAAGTTAGCATTAAAAATGCCACAGGCAATAGTTTCCCGCTTTACAAAACTCACGTCAAACAAGAAAACATTGACTCACTCAGTGGCGACAACATCGAACAGCTTGCAGGCGCCCTTCCAGACAAGATCAAGGAAATCAGGACGCAGGTGACCGGCACTCTGTCTGGGATCGATCCTCTCAAAAGCGCAATTGACACTAGTGTCAGAGAAATAACTACCAAATTTAGTGAACTGTGCGAAAAAGTTAGAAGAGCGGCGGCTGCGGGGGAGGATAAGGGTCAAGTGGATGACACTCTCAGAGGACGGCTAAACGACCTGAAGCAGAAGATTGGCTTGAATAACTCCAAGGAAGGTACGCTTAAAAAACTATTACAACAACTTGACGAGCTCCACACCAGTCTTGTGAAGGGTCCCATCTTTAAGCTCAATCATTTCCTAGATACGCACGCCGACAAAATGCTCGACGTGCACGTGAAATCACTTCACAAACAGGTCACCAACACAGTCGAAGACACCAAAGCGTTGCTCACCACCCAGGCGAAAAAGGACTACGTGACCGCCATGCAGCTCCTCATCCAGCAGTTCGCCGAGAGGGTTAGGAGCGACTTGAATGGACTGCCTCAAGCAATTAGTGACGATTTAGAACAAGGACACAAAGGCTTTATGGCGAAATTGCATGAGCAATTTCTGAATCGCTTTAACACTTATCTCAGAACCTATAACCTAGAGAGCAGAACATTAAGAGATATCGCCGGTACAGTATGTTACCAGTTTAGCGATTTCATGGAGGCATTATACAAGCAGGAAGATTTCACAAACAATCGCATATATGTTGAGCCTTCCAGGAAGGCATTGCAGACGTTGCTTACGCATCTTGCCAATTCACAGCACTTCGACCGCATTTTCACTGACAACCTTAAAACTTAAGAGGCACCTTTAATTACTTCGCACCTAAGAGATTCCACACGCCAAACAGCACGTTGATAGATCCCTTGAGAGAGGGAATTAGAAGCCTGGCCAAAGAGGTGGGCTACGGATACGTCAACACGTACTCCGGTGAGAAGCCTATAGATGGCTGGGTGACCAAGGTCACTGACGCCAAGGCATCAGAGCCGAAAACCAAATTAACTGATGAAGGCAAAAATTGCGCGAAGGTATGCCTTACCGTATTTTACACCCTAAACTCCACCTTGCAGGAAATGAAGCAGAATTGCGGCAGCAATTGGCGTGGAGACAGTGTTACTAAATCCACAAAGCTCGGACAGTTCCTGGCCGACCAAGGGTATGACGTATCTGACGCAGGCAAGCAGAATGGCGAAATAGACATGGAGCTGAGAGGTGGGCAAGTTAATAAATTCCTTGTAGGCTCCGACAATAAACACGTCTACAAAGCCGATGGAACTATAAGCACACTGACAACGCTGTACGATTATCTTGAAACATATAATCACGCTTGCCACCTCCGCCACGTAGACGGCGCGAAAGCGCCACTTAGTGTATTCCATATGCTCTCTTGGCTTGCTGGTCTTACATATAGTCCCATGCTCGGCGCAATGTATGACCGCTTCATATCCTTGTTTGATAAACCAACAGAATACAAAGCGCACAACCACTCTGCCAACTACACTCTAGATGCATATCCGTCGACTATCACTGCCGAACAAATGGAAACGTCCCTGTATGATATTATGTCACAGTCCCACGACCTCTTAACTTCCATACTGGGCCACGGCCATGCGGGTGGCATTTATGCGTGTGATCATTTGAACAACAGCAATAACCTCTTATATCCCAATAACCCAGGTGCCTGTTTTGACTTGTTGGCTGAAATATTGCAGAGACTCAGCCAGCAACTCAGCTTCCTATACTACCAGTGTACGTATCCGATGGAGCTGGGCGGGTGGTCCGACTGCCACTACGGCCGCAATGTATCCGGCTATCACTGGCAGTGTAACACTACCCAATGCCCTGACCAAACATGTAACCAAAGTACTAACCAAAACGGTAACCAACGTGCCAACCAAAAAGGTGACCAACCATGTAAGCAACACCCTAGGTGCGGCGTTAATTCACCTTTACAGTCCTACTTAGAAGACGGGTTGCCTGGGTTTATGCCACATCCATTCAGCAAAACCGGTTGCCAAATTTCCTGTCAGATGCCTAACCACACTGGTAAACCATGTAAAACGCCGATGGGCTTTGCCGATATTGAGACAATGGCATCGCATATAAAAACTGGTCAGCACTTATTCAATGTACTTCATGGATTTTGCGGTAATACATATTCTCCCCTCCGCAAGCAGTGCGCTATATTTAATTGTCTTCTGCCCACTCCACCAAAAACACTAGGCGATATGTTTGCTTTCTACTACAATTTCTTAGGTGATTGGAATAGGAATGACAAGCGTAAGAAGCACAGGGAAGAGCCATTTGAACAGGCTGTGAAAGGCGTCAATTTCGAAAATCCAGACACCGATCTCGATATTACATCCGTCTTTAAGAGCACTAAACATAGTTCCGGCAAAAATACGCCACACCACGATGGAGATCTCCACTCTCTCGTGAGTTGTAATCCAACCTCTACTGCAGCCCATCCCTGTGGCCCATATCTGAGGCCCCTGTCCAGTGACCTCGGTACGATGCTATCCAAAAAGAATGCCGACAAATACCTATCTTGGATAGTGTATGTAACCGAAACATTCTACGACCTGCTCAAGAAACTGTTTGATGAGTGCAACAAACAATGTGGCGGTGATAAGCCAAAATGTCGTATCGCAAACTGTCCGACAACCTGCACTGTTGCCAAGCAGCCAACCAAGCTAAACCACAGTGACCCCTGCAAATCCCTTGTCAACTGCAAAACTACGCTTCCCACTTTATGTAGTTATGGCTTCACAATAGAAAACCCATCTAAGCTAAGCGGTATAGAAGGTGCGTCACTGAAACGCACGTGTAACGATTTATGCAAAATATTGGAAACAGTATGTCATGGACGATCGGTACTTGCGGACATGGTTGTTAACAAAATACCACAATTCTTATGGGAAATCAGGAAGAAATTCTCATACCTTTTGCTTGCCCTCTGGTCCCTCTCTTTGCTCTACCTGCTGCACATCGCCGTCGTCCGCCTCGACGTCCTGAGGATACGCTCACACCTGCGGTCACCCTCAAGCCACCGCATCGCCGCGCAGTCCCTCCTCGCCGCCGCACGCGTCAAGGCACTCGCCAACGTCAAGTACTTCTCACCATAATCGTGCCTTCACGTGTGATCTGTGTATCACTCACTCAACCACCCACTCAACCACTCACCCACTCAACCACCCAACCACCCAACCACTCACCCACTCAACCACTCAACCACTCACCCACTCAACCACTCACCTCCTCCTTCACTGGTCGCTTCGCTCCCTGCCTCCTCCTTCATCACCTCCTCCGTCGGCGTCCTTCACCCAAATCCTCATTTTCCACTTTTTCTCTCCACATCCTAAACCGCTTCTCCCCAACCCTTCTCCCTCCTTCATCGCCCTCTTTCGCCTCCTCACCTCCCTCGCCCTGTTCACCCACCTCCCTCATCGCCCTCTCTGCCTCCTTGACCTAAAATCGCCTTTCTCAAAAAATTCTAAAATTCTCCAAAAGTGTCCCTTTCCACCTCCTTTAATTATCCTCTAACTTTTTTCCACTTTCTTCTCTCACCTCATTTGACCTCCCTTCTTGGCCTCCTTCTGACTCCTCTAGTAGCCTTGTCTCCTACTGTGATCACTTGAGTAACGAAATTAATAACCTTAAATCTCAAAATAACTTTGATGAAAATAAGCTTAATAAACTTCAATCTGACTTAAGCAGCCACAAAAGTGAAGTGCACAACAATACGTCCAAAAGGGACAATGCGTTGAAGGACATCCACTCCAGGATGGTGTCTCTTGCTGACCTTAGTGGGAAGCTTGGCCAATTTATTGGCCAAAGTGACGCTGTTACCAAAGCAATTAATGATGCTATTACAGCTATTATTAACAGTCATGATGAATTCAAAAGCCTTAGAAACTCTCCGTCTTCGCCTGCGCAGTCTTCTGGTTCCGTGCCTGCTGAGCTTATAAATGTTGCTGAGCTTCTACAGAAAATTCAGCATTTTAAGAAAGAAATTGCGTCACTTGAAAAACGTAAAAGCGACCAAAATCCTTCCCTCTCCTCTGAAGATTCTCGCCTTTTATCCTCTCATCAGTCCAAGTTGCAGTCTCTTCAGAGGCTGAAGAGCCTTAATGAGTCTTTGAGTTCACTTAATAAACAACAAAGTGATAACTGTAAAAATCTTTTAACAAATCTCACAGATGGTTTAGAAAAGTTTCTAGGTTTCAATCCAACCTCCAAAGGCTACTCGGGTGAAGGCATCGTGTACTCGGACCTTGACAGGCTCTGCGACGGAGTGATGTCCTTTCTCCTCAAATGTATGGAGTGCAGTCAAACGCTTTTAAGCTTTTATTATCCTAATATTACGCAGACTATAAAGGATTTAGAAGGTAAAATAGGTACGGGCCGTGGTGTTGATGGATTTGCGCAGGCCATTGAGAGAGTGCAGCAGGGGCTGGAGGGGTATGAGAGTGGGATGGAGAAATTGACAAATGTTGTTGTAGGTGATCAAGACGACCCAAAAAGTAAGATAAAGGAGCTTGAAGAGCAGATTGATACAAATATTTTGCAGGTCAAGGAATTGGAGTCTCAAGGCTTCGATGCTGCGCAATCCAAGTGGTACCAGACGGTGACTAAGGACTTGTACACCAAGGTAAGTAACCTTGCAAACGCAATTAATGCCTTAGATCCCGAACTCAATAAGAAGCTGAGCGGCGATTTGGGGAAGATTTCGACGCAATTAGAAAATTTTGAGAAAGGTGCCCGGCGGGATGAAAGGGAGATGAGGGAGTTGGGGAGCAAGGTAAGTGAGCAACTTAAGGAGCTTGAAGAACAAGTTAATGCGTATGCTGAAGATCAAGGAGATGTGTGTATTGAGGGGCTCAAAAAAGAATTTGATGACAACATTCAGACTCCGATTGAAAATGTTAAGGAGGCATTGCTGGAGGTGCAGAGGAAACTACAGCAGTGGAGTGAGAAGGCTACAAGTGCTGTTAAAACGGCGATGGAGAAGGTGGAAGAGATCGTGAATAAGTTAGACGGTAGGACGGTAGGCTCGCGCAATAATGAAGAGAGAAAAGACGTAACTAAGGCAGCCCACGGATTGCACGGTAAGGCGCGGTGCCTTTTGGATGCTATCGACGGTGCCAAGAAGACGTTGTCCGACAGGGTGAACGAGGCTATACATAAAGTAACAGAGTTAGACGACGATCTCCGCACGGATTTGACGACGTTAAAGGATAAGATTAAAACAGCGATATGGAATCATGTTCAGCAGGTTATTATGCCGGATTTTGATAACATTAAGCAGAACGTTGTTGATGAGAGTGGAAAAGGTGAAATATATACGAGTTGGAATAGTCTTAAAGAGGCGATTACGGGGCGTGCTGCGGGCCTGGTGGGTAGTAGTCCGAGCAACTCGAACTTGAGTGATATGGTAGCTGGAGTTGCGACATATGCGGCGGAGTTCAAAAAGGGGCAGTTCGGGAAAATTGTAAATGCTTGGGTGAAGGAGATAATAGAGAAAAACGTCATTGTGAGGGACTGGTTTGGTTATTATGTTAAGCATCCCGATAACAAGAGCCTTCTCCAACCGGGATACAATGCACCGGATATGAAAAATTTTTTTGCAGTGAAAACGAACGAAATTGCAGGGGTCTTTGAGAGCAAGCTTAATTTCCAAATTTCGCAGGCAGCTATAGATCCCGGCACTTCAATTCAACAGAATATCGACGCCGTAAAGTCTGGTATAAATAGGTTCGTGGATGCAATTGTGAAAAAACTGACGTACCCGGGAATTGATGCATTCGTCAGTGTTATTGCCGGCGACATTAAGACACATCTCGTGCCGGATGTATTCAGCACCGATCCAAAACAGAATACGTACCTTGAGGAAGCCGTAAAACTAATACTAGTGGCCCTCATATCAACCGCCAGGAATGCTGGTGAGGCAGTTGACTACTTCGCATCCGATAAAGCTTCCAAAATAAAAACAAACCTGGAGAATGCTATAGAGAAAGTAAAAGAGATCACTAATCAGGTTAACCCCGACCAACCAGGAGGTAGGATTGAATCCGCATTGGCAACTGTCCTCGGTCAAGTCAAGTCGCTCAAGTCCGCCCTGACTCAACCAACTTTTCAGAATGCCGTCTATGCCAAATTAAATGCGGAGATAGGATTTGATGCAGGTGGTAAAATCATTACTCTTACGGATAAAAACTTTACGAATTACAACAAGCACCTGTTAAAACAGAGTAAAGGTTTTACCAGCATCCCAATCGGCAAACTTCCATCTGCTATCAATGCCATTAAAGAAGAAGTAAATCAATATTTTATGGATAAAAATGGGAATGCATACATCACATCACAAAATCTCAACTCCGCCCTCTCTGCCGTCGACGCCAAGGTGAAAACCTTTTGTGATGCCGTTAAGAGCCTAATTAATCGGAATGGCGCCCCAAAGGACAACAGCATGCAGTCACACTTGGATCAGCTAAACAATTTAATCACCAAAAATGTTGAAGTAACGATAAGTGGAGGCAGCTTAAACGGCACGGTAGATGGTCTAAGAAAAATACAAGACGAACTCGGCTATATCATCGGTACAGAACAGGGCCAAGGTAACAAAGACAACGTAAATAAAATATTAATGGCTGCTAAACAATTCAACAGCTCTACAATCGACAGAGAACTCGGAAAATGTGTTTCTGGAATCAACGGCTTCCTCTCCCAAGAAGTAACCGACAAGATTGACAACATAAAACGAGACGCCCTGAACAACTATGTTAACAGTGCCAAGCAGCAGTTGGAGGAGTTGCGATCGTACGTCACGGAGCGTAAAAAGAGCCTGCAAACGATTGTGGAGGAAGACAAAACGGGCGGAACGAAGGGCTTGTTAAAAGAATTGCAAGGGGAGACGGACCCTCCAACTGATAAAAATATTCCTGGTGTCAAAACCTCCCGTAATTGGCTCGAAGCACTAAGAAGTATTACGAATCTGAAACAATCAGAAAAATTCACCACTTTGTCGCAGATAATTAAACACTATTTGCATCCTGTCTTTGACTACATCATTAAGCAGGTTAGGAAAACGTTTCCTGATAGCGCTTCCTCTCCGGGAGCAACGCGAACTCCACACCCGCACATGGGTGAGTTAGAAAATGTTGAAAGCGCTCTGACTGCTTTACTTGAACATTTAATAGATGACTCAAAGAAAGTGTACAATTTTGAACACACGTTCGATGATTATCTGAAAGCATTAATACATTCGCTTGACACCCTTTCACCGAAGAAATTTGGTGCCGCGTCGTGTTCTGTTCTTGATGCAATGAAAGAAGGATTAATGAACTTCGGCAAACAACTTAAGTGCGCTTACGTGTCGACATACTCCGGTGCCACTACCAACTGGAAAAAACAAAACAATCCCGATAAGGAAAAGTGCGCCAAAGTTTGTTTGACCACCGTATGCATGTTATACAGTGAGTTGACCGATTTGAGATTGACGTGCAACAAATCGCAGCAGATGCAGATTAATCTGTCAAATGGTCTCGGCCAATTCCTCAAGTCATGCGGTTACGACGTCTCCGCAGATGCCGCATCCCAAAATGGCGAACTGCGGAATTGTGTTGAGCTCGACGGGTTCACAGTTCGTGCAAAAATCACGAAGGAAATAAACGGAGCAAACAGTGGACATATACTCAAGTGTAAGCCACTAGAAAATACCTTTAACATCATGACGTTGCTTTCATGTTTTTGCGAGCACCTTAGTGAGTATTATCGTGTTTGTCACCTGCCCGCTCCATCCTCTAAGAAGCATCCTACTTCCATCTATGACATGCTCACTTGGTTGTGTGGCCTGACCTACAATCCGGTGTATGACGCAATAAAATTAGACGGTTTCGCTCAACTATTTGATAAGCCTGAGAAACCGGCGTCCGAGGACAGCGACAGTGCTGAGCCTGTCGTCCTAGTGGAAGATGACGCTTCCTTGCCAGCTTATCCGGAAACCATCACAGCCATTGGCCTATCGACTACGCTTGCAGGAGTATGCCATTACGCATATGAAACGCTTATCGCAATACTCGGCCACGGTCATGCCGACGGCGTATATGCGTGTGAGTTCAACATTAACGCGCAGGGCTTTGTATATCCAGCTGACTTCAACACTCTAATCTGTATGATATTTAACATCCTGAAACTTTTATACCAACAATTATATTTCTTATACACGCAGTGTTGTTACAGCACGAAGCTTGGCGGCTGGTGTGATTGCCACTATGGCAGGTACGTCGGCGGTTCATCATGGAACTGTAATGAGAAGCTGTGCGCTAACCTAGAGTGCAAGCTAAGCGGCAACCAAAAGGGTAACCTAAGTGCTAACCAAAACACTAAGCAAACATGTGACCAACATCCCAAATGCGGTGTTAAATCACCGTTACAGTCTTTCTTAGAAGACGGCCTTGTCGGCTTCTTGCCGCATCCTGTGACATCAACCAGAGGGAAACTTGAGTGCCCAGTTAAAGGCCACCTCAACATCCCCTGCAAAGCGCCGATGGGCTTTGCTGATATTAGCCAAACAGCATCTCATGTGAAAAATGGGAAGTATCTAAGACGTGTACTTTCCGAATTTTGTGGCAGTGTAGAGTCCCCCCTCACTAAGCTGTGCAGCCAGCTCAACTGCCTCCTGCCTACCGCTCCTAAGTCACTTGGCGACATGTTCGCGTTCTACTTTAGTTTCCTGAATGACTGGTGCGGTAAGAATCCAGAGCGTACAAAACATAGGGAAGCGCCATACTGGGAAGCCGTGAAAGCAGCTAATTTCAATAGTTCACTTACAGGCTTGATGGACTGCTCAGAGCTGTTTAAATTTACAGTCCATGCATCGTATGCCCCCCAAACCGGGGCATCAAATTACACTGCGTATCATCATAAGGGTGACCTTTATAGTATATACAGCCCTGCCGATACGTGTTACACAGCCGGCACAAAATGCGGTGCCTATGCATCCCCCTTGTCTGTGGACATATATTCGTCATTTTCATCCAAACATAAGGCATTGTATCTGTCATGGATGGTGTACGTTACTGAAACATTCTTCAACCTGCTATGCCAGCTGAATGAGAATTGCAATGGTAACTGCGGCTCACAGGCATCCAAATGTCGTATTACTGGTTGCGTAAAAGGCATATGCAAGGTTGCTGATTCTGGATATGTTGAGTCAAGAAAACACAACAGTGAATGCAATTCCATTCTCAACTGCCGCCATAGTCATCCAACATTGTATAGCTCCGGTCTCACGTTTGGCAGTAGGCAACACCTGTATGGACATGTTGACCATGACAGATTTCCGAAAAGAACTTGTAAAGAATTTATCGCACAACTTCAGACGATATGTTCTGAAAGTTCAGTGCTCTCGATGTTGATTCACAAGACAATTCCTGAATACCTTCTCGCGATCAGATGGCCATTTATGATTACGTTACTAGCCCTCTGGTCGCTGTCGCTCCTGTACCTGCTGCACATCGCCGTCGTCCGCCTCGACGTCCTCAGGATTCGCTCCCACCTGAGATCACCCGCAAGCCACCGCATCGCCGCACAGTCGCTCCTCGCCGCCGCACGCGTCAAGGCACTCGCCAACGTCAAGTACTTCTCACCATAATCGTGCCTTCACTCACTCACTCACTCAAATCTTACTTTCACTTAATCACTCACTCACCACTTACCTATCTCACTGATCATTTTTTACCACTCACTCACCCACTCAACCACTCACCACTAATGCACCCATTCAATCATTCACTCAACCACCTTACCCACTCAACCGACCCACTCAACCTACTTAATCAACCACTTCCACTCAACTCACTTACTTACTCAACCACTCAACCACTCAATGATTCACCCACTCATATATTTACCCACTCACCCACTCAACCACCAACTCACCCACTCAATCACCAACTCACTCACCCAATTTATTTACTTAATGCATTTACTCACACCAATAACCACTTCCTACTTTACTTCGCTTCACTAACTCCTCTTCTCTCTTTCCATTTTCTCCGTCGAGGTCTCACCCAATCTCATTTTCTGCCTTCTCCCTCCACCTCCTAAATCCCCTCTAACCCACTCTTCCTCGTCTTCATCGCTTCTCGCCTTTTCATCTCCCCTTGCCCTGTCCACCCACCTCCCTCGCTGCCTCCTTGACCTAAAATCGCCTTTCCCCAAACTCCTCTAAATCGCCCTCAAAATGTGCCTAAAATAATCCTTCAACAACATTATTAAATAACCTTACTGAAGGCCTCGAAAAAATTCTCGGCTACAGTAATGGTAATTACACTGGCTCCGGCATCGTGTACTCGGACCTTGACAGGCTCTGCGACGGGGTGATGTCCTTTCTTCTCCAATGCCTCAAAGGCACTGAATCATTGTTGACATTTTATAATGATAAAATTCCCAATATCATTACTGAGTTAGAAGGTAAAATAGGTAAGGGCTCTGGTGTTGATGGATTTCGCTCCGCCATTGGGATTTTGCAGCAAGGGCTGCGGGGGTATGAGAGTGTTTTATCTACAAGAACGGATGGAGTTACATCCGAATTAACTTCACTTATAGCCACCATTAAAGCACTAAACACTGATTTTAATAATAAGTCTAGTGTTAATTTAGTTAGCCAGTTAGAGAGGGTGTCGACTCAGGCCGCTGAGTGTTCGCTGAAGGCCAGGGAAGCGGAAGATGCGAGAGAGGCTTTAGACGAGACGCTTAAGGGTAAGTTGAAATGTAGCGTAACATCGGTTTTGCAGGCTGTCGACGGTTTCCAGAGAAGTGCGGACGATCCGGGAGTGAATTGGCAAGCGGCGGAAGTGGACAGGGAGTTGGAGGAGCAGAGGGAAGCGATAGCAAAATCTGTAAATGACGAGACAAGAAAATTACAGGAGAGGTTGAGGAGAGAGTTTGGAGAAATCAGTAATGGTATCAAGGGTCTATGTCAGCACAAAGATGCGCAATTCAATTTGGTCAAGGAGGTTCTGCAGGATGCGAAAACGGAGGCCAACATTTTAGCGAAAGAGTTCGACACAGAATATAGAAAACCGATATTAACCCATTTCGAAAAAATAACTGCAGCGCTGAAAAACGTTAATCCGAAGGGATCATCTTCTAAGCGCGGTACGTCCAAGCTTCTCTTGGAGGTTAATGGCATTACGAAGGCAATTGACGCCGTTGGAACACATATTGCCGACCATGTTGGCAATTTGGGCATGTGGAATAGGGAGGCCGGGAAGGTGATTACCAAGGCCAGCGAGAAGTGTGAGGAGATACTGAAGAGGGTTTCGAAAGGTAATGATAAAGAAGCGATTATTTTTAAGGAAGCGGGTGATTTAAAAACGAAAGGCATCAAACTCAGGGAGGCGGCAAGTAGTGCTGTAGATATGGTGAAGGCTAAGGTAGAAGCTGCGCAAAAGGCGCTGAAGGAGTTGGATACAGACCTTAAGAAAGATTTGAATGATCTAAAACTGGGAATTAAAAAGTACATCGAGGACTACTTTTCAGCGTTACATATAGCTGCACATAAGAGTGATAGTTTTAGTCTTGGTAGAGTACTGAATCCGTTGGGATCAGCAAGTCGGCTGCGGGATTGGCTTGACGAGTTCGCTAAGAAAGGCTCAAATGGGCAGCCCGCATTTCCAGATGTTGTCAAGGGTCTACATTTTCTAAGGACCAGATCAAAGAATGAGAGAGCTAATGACATGTCTGCTTACACATCTGTGTTCAAAGATATAAATGATAACGTGGAAATGCGGTTGCCGGAGAATTCTAAAACAAGTGAGAAAGTGTCCCTTGATAATTTCCCCAGATACCCTACCCACTTTAAACGAGCTGAACACGGAACAACTGACTCAACTGGCACTGCATCCGGGAACGTTCCAACGGCAATCAAGGCAGTTGTAGACGACGGTCTGAAAGACCTGACTACCACTGGAGACATCCAAAGCATCTTGAGCAAAGCAACTAATCCTTTTGACAGTGCCTTCAACACAGTTTTGACGCAGCTCACGGACATTACTGAACTTATTACTGAGAAGACAAATGGTGGCATATTAGAATACGATGGAGAGATGAACAAAAAAGGCGTCAAGACTCTTTTGGAGGAGCTTGAGAATGGACTAAGTAAAGCTGTTTTGGGCACAGCAAAGGGTCTTAAGTTAATACAAGATGAAATTAGAACGTTGTATGTCACAGAGTTTAAGGACATCGGCACAATTCATAAAACAATCAATAAGGTGGTCGAGACAGTTAAGATTCTGGAACCTGTGCCAGCCACTGTAAACAATTCTCAGAAAGAAGCAGAGAAGCTTATGGGACTATTGGAGAATAAAATTAAATCTGTTGAACAGGGTATTGAAACAATTTGTGCAAAAGTCAAGGTGGCGGAGACGTCTCTGGATGCGGCTATTACAACTTTAAGCAAAACACTATCGGCATCCCATGTACAACTATATGATGAGACCGAAGCGCTTAAGAACAAACTAACCAATACAGTCTCCTCCGCCTTCTCCACCCTCACCTCCCAAGTCCAATCCCTCTTCGCGCGGCAGAAGCAGGCCGAGCTCACGCAGCTGCAGAGCGTCGTCGACGCGCAGTTGAGGGAGATTAACAGGGTTATTGAGCAGGATAAGGCGACGGGGGTGAAGGGATTTTTGGGGACGATGAAAGACAAATTTCTCGCAGAATTCAACGAAATCACAAAATTCACCTTACCGTCTGATAAAGTTGAAGCTCCGGAAAAATCTCCGATGAGCCGGACGGCGTTAAGATTTAAGATAGCTCTTGATTACCTGTTCCATTACATTGAAGAGCAGGTGAAGACCCCGGTGCCGAATAAGGATGCGGAGGCAAATGATCAATCCAGAAAGGTCTCCGAACTCAAAACACAACTAGACACTTTGCTCGACCACATTAAAGATAAGTACCACTATGACCGTAAATTTAGAGAATTATTAGAGTCACTTATAGATTTCATGAACACATTCTGTTTTGATAAGTTAGCACCCATCGTCAACCCAGCGTTGCTAGACCTGCTGAAAAGTGGGATCAATGAATTCACCAAGCAACTTAGCTATGCATACGTCTCACGTTACTCGCAGCTGACCATCCCGTGGATGAAAAAGGCACACGCAGCAGCAGAACCAAAATTATCATCCGAAGCACTTCAATGTGCTAAAGCATGTCTGACTGTAATCCCTATCGTCTTCGAGGACATCAATGACCTTGTCCTAGGCGTCGATGAGAGAGGCTGGGACACGCAACAGATAAATTTACATGTTGAAAACCTCGGAGATTACTTTGATTCCCGCGGTTACGAAGTGGCCACAGAGTCTGAGAAACAGGACGCAGAGCTGCAAAATGCTAGAAAAATGACCGGCGATCAAATTGTGAACAAGCTTGTTGTTTTGCTTAAAGGTGGCAAAAGGAATCTTCTAGATGACCTGAGCGACATGCTCGGCACATATTACCAAGTCTGCCACCTCTCCACTTTCTCTGCAAGTAAACAACCATGCAGTGTCTACGAGCACCTCTGCTGGTTGTCCGGCCTTCCGTGCAATTCCGTTTACGGTGACCTGTTACGTGAAGGCATTGGCAACCTGCTTGAGGACCCGAATAAGGCACTTGCCGACGAGAATAACGGCCTCGATATATCCGTATTTAACATGGAAGCCTTTTACCTCGATGCATACCCCAAGCGAATCACATATAAAGATATCGAGGCGGTGCTGCACCATATCTGTTCCACGTCCTACGATCTTCTCACTTGCATCGCTGGCACTGGTAACGCCGAGACTATCTACGGCATCGAGTTTTGCAACAACTCCCATAATCTCAAATATCCCAGTGCAGGTGACGAATGTCTCCAGATGCTCCTCGACGTTCTACGTAGGTTACTACCTCCACTTAGGTTCATGTTTGGTCAGTGCACTAATCGGGCATCTGATTTCGGTTGGGCCGACTGTTGGTACGGCAAAGCTGTCAATGCTTCAAATTGGCAATGTAAGGAGCACCCAAACACTAAACCAATTGGCCAACCAAAAGGTCAACCAAAATCAGAACCAAATTGCCAACCTAGATCACCATTAATGAGTTACCTAAATGACTCTCTTCCCGGTCACCTACCGCACCACCTTAGTTCCATCGGTTGTAGAGCTACATGTTCGACGTGTCCTTCAACATCCATGAAGGGTATGCCCTGTCTGACGCCACTCGGGTTTAAAACATTCTCCGGAAATCCAAAGACGGGCAACGACCTATGTAAGGTGCTGGGCAGATTCTTTGGCAACCCCTATCTTTCATCGCTCTTCTGCCTTGGTCCCAGACCACCGTCTACTCTCCCAGAACACATTGGCTTTGCGTTGTCACTAGTGAAGAATTGGGAAAAGCCGCCTGGTTATGATAATAACCCTATACACAATGGAATTGCCGGAAAAGCTGCAGAGCTTTCCATATACCAATATTCTCATGACGGTCCCCTGTTTGGTGCACTGGTAGATGCATACGGTTATCAGCCGCCCAAAGCATCCACTCACTCCGACCCTGATCACGCTGACCTCTACAGTCTGTGTCTGGCGAAGAACATTATACCGTGTTCCGGGTCCAAAGGGAAATGCGCCAGGTACCTCTCTTCACTATGTGCTGATTATTACCAATACGCTGCTGTTAAGAATTGTAGTCTCCTGTTGTCGTGGGCTGTATACCTCCCATGGAAATTCCATGATTGCCTCAAAAATCTACTCGATGCCTTCTGCAACATCGTCTGCCAGGACTGGGGTTGCGGCGGATGCCTAAAAAGTGGCAAGTGCAAACGTGGAGAGCACGGTAGCAGCGACGAAAAAACCAAGAAATCGCATTGTTCATGTGACTCCATTGTGTCATGTAGAGGTGTCTCACCAACATTGCACAGTTATGGATTTACGTTCGGCAACGCAGTCGCTCTAAATCGGTCAAAAACGGAAATAAAGTGTTCCGATTTCTGCCAACAATTAAAAAAGGTAATAAACTCAGGGTACTTCAAAACATTGTTTGAGAAATGTGATGAATTCCTATGGATCATCAGAGAACCCTTCTCATACCTTTTGTTAGCCCTCTGGTCGCTGTCGCTCCTGTACCTGCTGCACATCGCCGTCGTCCGCCTCGACGTCCTGAGGATACGCTCCCACCTGCGGTCACCCTCATCGCACCGCATCGCCGCGCAGTCCCTCCTCGCCGCCGCACGCGTCAAGGCACTCGCCAACGTCAAGTACTTCTCACCGTAATCGTGCCTTCACGTGTGATCTGTGTATCACTCAACTCACTCACTCAACCACTCACCCACTACTCCAACCACTTCCATCACCTACAACTACCCACCTCAACCACTCTAATTTCCACCTATCTAAATTTCACATTTCACTCTACTCAACCACTTCCACTAACCACTCTACTCTTAACTCCACTCAATCCACTCTAATTTAACGCACCTACCTAAATCTACTAACTACTCACCTACTTAACTTACTTCCATTTAATCTACGCATTTCAATTCCATTTACTTACTTCGGCTCACCCACTTTACCTACTCAATCTACTCTACCTACTTAATGTACTTCATTTAATCCAATTCATTTAATTCATTTTACTTAACGCATTTAACTACTTCTTAATACTTCTACTTCTTACTAATATATATTTACCGCATTTAATCTATCAACATTTACTCTACTGCATTTAATACTTACTTAACCCATTTCATTTACCCACTTAATAACATTTCTACCATCTATTTACTTTAATCACTTAACCATTTTAACTTTAATGCATTTAACTTACTTACTCTAATCATTTACCATCACTTTAATCTAACCATTTAACCATCCCACTTAATGAATCCATTTACTTCTAACGCATTTACTTACTTAATTACTTACTCATTTTATTTACTCTATCTTATTTACCCATTTAATTACTTACTTATTTCTACCCATTTATTTACTTTTACTTGAGCTGTTGTTTTTTTTCGACATTTTTTTTCATCACCTCCTCCTGTGGAGTCCTTCACTCAAATCTCATTTTCCACCTTCTCCCTCCACCTCCCAAACCGCCTTACCTCCACCCATCTCTCTCCTCCATCGCCCTCCCTCACCCTGTCCACCCACCTCCCTCGCTGCCTCGTTGCCTCCTTGACCTAAAATCGCCTTTTCCCAAACTCCCCCAAATCGCCCTTAAAATGTTCCATTTCATCCCCCTTTACTTCTTTTAACCCTCCCTTAATCCACCTTTAATCCAACTACACTGACCACTATAATGATGTCCATTACCTGACCCAGGATGCCAGGAGGGAAGCCTTGAAGGAAATTGATGCCCGTCGTATCTCTCTTGGTCAGCTTGCTGGACAGCTTTCGGGTTTTATTGGCGGGAGTGGAGAAATCCAGAAAGCTATTTTGAATGGTTTGCAGAGTAACGTAAATCAGCTTGAAAAGCTTTTAAATAAATCTTGCGGAGGGGAGGGGTGTGATTGTGATAAGTATCCTGAGAAGTTCAGTGAGGGACTTAAAAAGCTTAGTGCGGAACTTGAGAAAGAAATTAAACAAATTGAGGAAAATAAAGATCATAGAATAATTTTTGATGGGTTTCAAACTCATGTAAATGCGGTGAATGGGAAAATTCATGAAAAACATTCGGCTATTGAAAAGACAATTAAGCCACTTGAAGCTTCTAAAAAAGAATATGAACAGAAAAAAGAGTCTTTCCCTGAGAAAGATTCCAAATCCCTTCAGTCTCATAATGCCTCCAAGGAGTCTCTCAAGACACTGAATCAGCTTTGTCAATATGCTGAGTCACTGAAAACTCATAAAAGTGGAGACTGTGAAAATATTCTTAACAATTTCTGTTCCGGCCTTGAGACCTTCCTAGGCTTCAACTCCGACTCCAAAGGCTACGATGGCTCCGGCATCGTGTACTCTGACCTCGACAGGCTGTGCGACGGGGTGATGTCCTTTCTCCTTGAATGTCTTAAGGGCAGTAGAGATCTTTTACATCATTATTTTCCTGATATTACAAGGACAATTAGTGAGTTAGAAGGTAAAATAGGTAAGGGCTCTGGTGTCTTAGGATTTGCGCAGGCCATTGGGAGAGTGCAGCAGGGGCTGCAGGGGTATGAGAGTGGCATGGAGGAGAGGATTAATCGTTTTAAAAGTTGGTATGACGCAATGATGAATACTGAAATAAAGGATTTAAAAGGCGAAATGTCAACATTTCATGATAAGAACCTTGAAGATCAGTTGAAAGCTGTGTCCTCCAAGGCAAAGATGTGTCTTCACAGGGCAACATTCGGCGAAAAATCAAAAAGTGAACTCGATGAAAAATTGCGTGAAATGCTTGATAAACCTGTAAGTTTAATCAAACAGGCTGCACACGATTTTAGGGAAATTAATGAAAATGGCCTGCTTAACCATCAGGCAAGGGCTGTGGACACGGCACTTCAGACCCAGCAAGCTGCCTTAAACAACGCTATAAATACTGGGTCCCAAAAGTTTCAAAACACTGTAGGTGGTGAATTTGACAAGATAAGAAGTAGTTTGAATGACCTGAAAGAAAATACTTTAAAGACTGAAATGCAAAAGGTGAGGAGTGCAGTGGAGGACGCGAAGGTATTTGTACAAGACTGTATAACGGATTTTGATAAAATATATGAACACAATATTCTGAATGAGTTCAACAGTATCAATCAACAAATGACTGATATCACTAAATCAAATAAAAGCGTAAAATATGAATCAAAATTGTTCGAAGAGGTCGAGAAACTTAACAAGGCGGTATTAGAGTTGGAAAAGCTGTATCAGGGAAAATTGGTGGATGTCAAAAAGAAAGTTGACAAGGCGGTTGGTCTAACTGATAATGAGCCTGGTAGTGTGTTGGCGGAGCTTACGAAATTGATGACCACCTGCGCACGGATTTGGAACGAGTGCGAGGGGATATAAAACTGCAGATTGATGGTTACATCGACAAACAGGTTGATGCTATTCTGAAAGCGGCGAAGAAGGCAAATACTGTAATTCGTACTAATGTTGGCGGCACTGGACTTTGAGTAATCTGGCAGAGGGTAGTAAGTTGAAAGAGTTGTTCAATTCTATGCAAGGATCAACGGCTGGAAATATTGTAGATGCACTAAGATCTTTAAATAGTGAACTCAAGCTAAACAGTGGTTCACCAATTCCCGATCCAGATACCCTCCACCTGATTAGAAACCTTAAGACTGATATAGAGAATACGCTTAAGAAAGTTATAACGGATCCTAAAGAAAATATAAAGATCAACGAGAGCTTCATGAACCATTATTACGTACAAACTATGAAAGAAGAACGTCGAGAAGGTGCGCTTAGAACAAAAATCAAGCAGATTAAAGGGAAGTTTGGCGGCGGCTTCCAAGGTGACGGAGAAAACACAAAGATACATTTGGAAACACTTGAAGGATACAATACTCCGCCAAGCACATCCAGCTCCAGTGAAGGCGCCAAGCCTGCGTATAACAAGGCGGTCGCCAGTGTGAAACAAATGGTTGACAAAATGGAACGGCTTCCAGAATTCGTTGAACAGCGTAAGCTGGCAGCCCAGAAAATTATGAAAGATATTAAAATACAATTCACCACACTGCAAGGCAAGATTGAGAATATTGAGGATAGTGTTAGTACAGCCGATAATGGGTTACAAAGGGCTATTGACGCGCTTAGTAAAGCCGTGGAACAATCAAGGGTGTCCACAATTAGTGATTCTGAAATACGTAAAGGCACACTCCTCTCCCAAGTCCAACAATCCTTCTCCACCCTCACCTCCCAAGTCCAATCCCTCTTCGCGAAGCAGAAGCAGGCCGAGCTCACGCAGCTGCAGAGCGTCGTCACGGAGCAGTTGGAGAAGATAGAAGAGATAATCAGGGAGGATAAATCAACAGGGGTGAAGGGTTTTTTGACGATATTAAGAGAGGGGATGTTTGAAAATTTCCTGAGTAGGTCGCATCCTTTAAAAGATGGCATGAAACTATCAGAGTTGGCTGTACAAGCTGTAATTTGTTTTGAGGGTCTGTTTGAATATTTTGATGAAGAATTGACACCAAAGAACTCCCGACTTGTACGTACATTGCATTCTCAGTCTACAGGTCCTCATGCTGCTATGGTTGAGAACATCAGAAGTGTTCTCAACGCCTTGCTTGGTCACTTAATAAATACTAAACTTAAAACATATGACTTTGACCACACCTTTAGAGAGAAAGTACATGAGCTCACAGTGTCGGTAGGCGCCTTAAGCGCTAAAACGTTCGGCGAGGGAAGGAATCCCGAGCTGCTGAACATCTTTAAGAGTGGCATGTTGGCCTTTACCACTGAACTCGGCCACGCGTACGTTAACGCTTATAGCGGTAAACACTTTGTAGGTGACTTAGTAACCAAGTCTACTGAACAACCCACCGAACAAGTCCTTTCCACCGAGGGCCGCAACTGCGCCAAGGTCTGCCTGACCATACTGGAGACGGTGAATAGTGGGCTGAAAGGGTTGCGGAAGGGATGTATTAAGAGTGGTAGCGGTATGCAAATCAATTTATCGAATGGCCTAGGAAAAGCCTTCCAACGACTAGGCTACGATGTTGCCTCTAGTCCAACCACCCAGGACGGTGAGTTACGTAATAAGAAGGGTTTCACCGGTGAGAACATTTACAGTGATCTCCTTGTCTACAAACATAATACTGGAAAAGGTGATAAAACATATCAACTCGTCAGCGACGATGACGACAACAAGGAGAAGAAAGATAAACATGGTGTCATTAGACAGCTCAACACCCATCTTGGCAGATATTACTACGTCTCTCACTACTACATTCCTCCGAATCCGAAATCACCAAGTAACATCTATCACTTGTTACAATGGCTCCTCGGTTTATACTTTAATCCGATTTATAGTACGCTTGGTGAGTACTTCAAGGAATTGTTTGAGAAGCCCGAAAATTATAAAGATAAGAAATATTCCGAAATTGATGAAAGCCAACTTAGCTTACTTGCCACCACAACAATTAGACCAAAGACATTAAAAGACACACTCCGATTGGTGTGTTTAGACTCCGCAGACACTCTGATCGCCTTTCTAGGCCACGGCCATCCTGACGGCCGATATGCCGTTGACTTTTACACAAACACCGACGGTTTGTCGTACCCTAGCAACGCCGGTCAATGTTTTGACATGTTGGTAGATATATTGAATAGAGTGTTTTATCAATTGCGTTTCTTATGTACCCAGTGTTCCAACAGCCGTAGTCGTGGTGGTTGGCAAGACTGCCACTATGGCCAGGGAGTTGGCGGTTCATCATGGAACTGCAACACCATGCAGTGCCCCAACCAAATAGCGAACCAAAACGGAAACCAAAGCTCTGACCAAAACTGCGAGCAACCATGTAATCAACATCCCAAGTGCGGCATCAAATCACCACTGCAGTCGTTCCTTGAAGACGGCCTTGTCGGCTTCTTGCCGCATCAGTTCACGAAGCCAGGTTGTAAGCTGGAATGTACTGTGCCCAATCATAGAGGCAAGCCGTGTCTCACTCCCATGGGATTTGCAGACATTGGTACAGTTGCTTCGCGTACAAAGGACGGTGTCTATCTCTGGAAAGCACTTTACAGTTTCTGCGGTCCAGATTCTGACCTCCGTAAACTGTGTTGTCAGCTCAATTGTCTACTTCGCAGACCGCCGCAAACACTCGGTGATATGTTTGCGTTTTACTACCAATTCCTTCAGAATTATAGTGTCGAGGGAAGAAAGCATAAAAAAGATGCATTTGATGAAGCTGTCAGAAAATCCAACTTCGGAGACGCCAAAACAGAGCTGGACTTTGTGTCCATACAAGGCACCAAGTCGCATTCTGATAAGCATTCCCAAGGTGATCTCTTCAGTCTTACAGACTGTGATTCTAAGTTAGAATCCGGCCTGCCCTGCGGGCCATATTTAGCTTCAATAAGTGAAGACATCAGGTCGGTATATTCTAAGGAGCATGCCGGCAACTATCTGTCGTGGATCGTATATCTTACCCAAACGTTTTATGATCTACTTAAACAACTATGTGAGCAGTGTTGTAATAAATGCAATAAGCAGGGCATCAACTGCCGTGGTAAGAAATGTGGTAAGGACTGCACAGTAAAGTATACTGATGGAGCAGACATCAAGCAACTAGAAACTCAGGAGCACCGTGATGACTGCCAATCAATTCTGAAGTGCCCAGATACGCACCCAACACTGTATACATATGGCTTCACATTCGGTAGTCCTCATGAATTATCCGGTGGAAAAGGAGAGGATAAAATACGCACATGTCAAGATTTATGCGAGGCGCTGGAAAATGTATGCCATGGAAAATCACTGATTGCAGATTTAGTAATTAACAAGATACCTGAATACTTATGGAACATAAGATCTAAATTCTCCTACCTCTTGCTCACCCTCTGGTCGCTCTCGCTCCTGTACCTGCTGCACATCGCCGTCGTCCGCCTCGACGTCCTGAGGATACGCTCCCACCTGCGATCACCCTCAAGCCACCGCATCGCCGCGCAGTCGCTGCTCGCCGCCGCACGCGTCAGGGCACTCGCCAACGTCAAGTACTTCTCACCAATCAGCCTCACGTGATCTGTGTGTATCACCCGCACCCACTCACCCACTTTACTCCACTTCATACTCTACTTAACTACTTACCTAATTTACTTACTCTAATCTACTTACTTACCTACTTTACTTCATTCACTTAAATCTTAACTTCTTAGTCTATTTCATTTAATGAATACGACCTTTAAATCTACTTTTTCACCCACTTCTCACTTACTCTACTCTAATTACTCCATTTACTCTTACTTACTCGATTTAACTTCACGCATTTCTACTCTCTTCAACTTACTTACCCATTTCAATTCATCACTCTACTTCATTTAACTAATGCACTTTACTCTTACTTAACACGCTCTATTTACCCATTTCACTTCTTACTCTATTTACTTAATTCTTCATTTAATGCATTTCTTAATGCATTTAATGATTTAAATTACTCACTGCATTTCTTTAATGCATTTTACTGACTTCCATCCATTTCTAATCTTATTTCATTTACTTACTTCTTAATGACAACTATCGCATTTAATCTAATTTACTTACTGATATTTTACTGCATTTATCTAATTTATTCACAATCTTACTTCACTTAACTACTCCACCCATTTCACTCCACTTCATTCAGTTACTTGTCGTTTGCTCCCTTTTCACTCTGACACTCTCTGTTTAGGTCTCATCTAAATCTCAATTCTTCCTTCCCTCCACTATTAGATTGTTTTATTCCACTATTTTCCTTTCTATCGTCTCTTTTGCCCTTTTCACTTCACTCTTCCTCACTCCTCTCACCTCATTTCTGCCTTCACTCTTACCGTTTTACTCTGTAATTTCCAGGTAACTTATTTACCTTCTTCATGGTTTTAACTTTCTTTCCATTTTCTTTCACTTATCTTATTTCCTTTGTTATTTCCATCGACTGGTTGATCCAGGTTAAGCATGGGAATGGTGATAACAAAGGTCTTGAAAATTTGGCTGAAGCTTTGAAAAAGTTGATTGGTGAGGCTATTTCTAAGGCTACAACTTCCCTCTCTCACAAATCCGGCAAGCTCTCTTGCTCCCCAAATCCACATGATCCTCTCTCCTACTGTAGTCAGCTTGATAAGGACATTGAGTCCAACCAACAAAAACTTAATGACGCTAGAAAAGCTAATAAAACTAATGAAATATCCTCTTTAGAATCACAAATTAAGCTGTTACAATCCAACAAAGATGACTGCACTAAGTCCCATTACATGGACAAGCAGCGTATGTCCTCCCTTGAGGCGGAAGTGCATGATGGCATCGATGTTATTGTGAAGCTTACACAGTTTAGTGGCACTGAAAAGAGCATTGAAACACTAATTAATAAAGAAATTGAGAGGCTTGAAAAGCAGCATAAAGACTGTAAAAAGTCTCCGCAGCCTCATGCCTCTTCTGACTGTCCTCAGCATAAAAAGCTTGAGGAGCTTAGAGAGAAACTTGAGACATTGAAGAAGAATAAAGAAAATCATTGTGAAACATTATTAAATAACCTGTGCTCTGGCTTGGAGAAGTTCCTTGGTTACCAAGAAACTTCCAAAGGCTACGATGGCTCCGGCATCGTGTACTCCGACCTTGACAGGCTCTGCGACGGGGTGATGGCGTTTATCCTCCAATGTCTTCAAGGCAGTAAAACGCTTTTACATCATTATTATCCTCAGATTATTGACACTATAAGAGATTTAGAGAGTAAAATAGGTAAGGGCCTTGGTGTTCCAGAATTTGCGCAGGCCATTGGGATTGTGCAGGCGGGGCTGGAGAGGTATGAGAGTGGCATGGAGGAGAGGATTAATCGTTTTAAAAGTTGGTATGACGCAATGATGAATACTGAAATAAAGGATTTAAAAGGCGAAATGTCAACATTTCATGATAAGAACCTTGAAGATCAGTTGAAAGCTGTGTCCTCCAAGGCAAAGATGTGTCTTCACAGGGCAACATTCGGCGAAAAATCAAAAAGTGAACTCGATGAAAAATTGCGTGAAATGCTTGATAAACCTGTAAGTTTAATCAAACAGGCTGCACACGATTTTAGGGAAATTAATGAAAATGGCCTGCTTAACCATCAGGCAAGGGCTGTGGACACGGCACTTCAGACCCAGCAAGCTGCCTTAAACAACGCTATAAATACTGGGTCCCAAAAGTTTCAAAACACTGTAGGTGGTGAATTTGACAAGATAAGAAGTAGTTTGAATGACCTGAAAGAAAATACTTTAAAGACTGAAATGCAAAAGGTGAGGAGTGCAGTGGAGGACGCGAAGGTATTTGTACAAGACTGTATAACGGATTTTGATAAAATATATGAACACAATATTCTGAATGAGTTCAACAGTATCAATCAACAAATGACTGATATCACTAAATCAAATAAAAGCGTAAAATATGAATCAAAATTGTTCGAAGAGGTCGAGAAACTTAACAAGGCGGTATTAGAGTTGGAAAAGCTGTATCAGGGAAAATTGGTGGATGTCAAAAAGAAAGTTGACAAGGCGGTTGGTCTAACTGATAATGAGCCTGGTAGTGTGTTGGCGGAGCTTACGAAATTGGATGACCACCTGCGCACGGATTTGGAACGAGTGCGAGGGGATATAAAACTGCAGATTGATGGTTACATAGACCATCAGGTTCGGGGCTTCATGAAAGCGGTAAAGCAGGCTTGGAATGCTGGTAGTAGTGGTGCCGCATCGATGTTGTATAGCAGCCTGAATGGAGACCTAAAGAATTCGTTCCAGACCGTTCATGCACCTACATCTACATACATAACAAGTGCATTGAAAGCCATAAATAGTGACTTCAAGCTAAACAGTGGTTCACCAATTCCCGATCCAGATACCCTCCACCTGATTAGAAACCTTAAGACTGATATAGAGAATACGCTTAAGAAAGTTATAACGGATCCTAAAGAAAATATAAAGATCAACGAGAGCTTCATGAACCATTATTACGTACAAACTATGAAAGAAGAACGTCGAGAAGGTGCGCTTAGAACAAAAATCAAGCAGATTAAAGGGAAGTTTGGCGGCGGCTTCCAAGGTGACGGAGAAAACACAAAGATACATTTGGAAACACTTGAAGGATACAATACTCCGCCAAGCACATCCAGCTCCAGTGAAGGCGCCAAGCCTGCGTATAACAAGGCGGTCGCCAGTGTGAAACAAATGGTTGACAAAATGGAACGGCTTCCAGAATTCGTTGAACAGCGTAAGCTGGCAGCCGATGAAATTATGAAAGACATTAAAACAAAATTTACGACACTGCAAGGAATGATTGACGACGTCGATTTAATTGTAAATGCTGCGGAGAAAGGCTTACAAAATGCCATTGACTCAGTTGGCAACGCGGTAAAAAAAACTGAGCAGGACATAACTCAGGAAAGCAAGAATCTTCAAGCTCAACTCCTCGCCGCCGTTAAATCCTCTTTCGATACCGTCAAGAATTCCGTCCAATCCCTCTTTGCTCGTCAGAAGCAGGCCGAGCTCACGCAGCTGCAGAGCGTCGTCACGGAGCAGTTGGAGAAGATAGAAGAGATAATCAGGGAGGATAAATCAACAGGGGTGAAGGGTTTTTTGACGATATTAAGAGAGGGGATGTTTGAAAATTTCCTGAGTAGGTCGCATCCTTTAAAAGATGGCATGAAACTATCAGAGTTGGCTGTACAAGCTGTAATTTGTTTTGAGGGTCTGTTTGAATATTTTGATGAAGAATTGACACCAAAGAACTCCCGACTTGTACGTACATTGCATTCTCAGTCTACAGGTCCTCATGCTGCTATGGTTGAGAACATCAGAAGTGTTCTCAACGCCTTGCTTGGTCACTTAATAAATACTAAACTTAAAACATATGACTTTGACCACACCTTTAGAGAGAAAGTACATGAGCTCACAGTGTCGGTAGGCGCCTTAAGCGCTAAAACGTTCGGCGAGGGAAGGAATCCCGAGCTGCTGAACATCTTTAAGAGTGGCATGTTGGCCTTTACCACTGAACTCGGCCACGCGTACGTTAACGCTTATAGCGGTAAACACTTTGTAGGTGACTTAGTAACCAAGTCTACTGAACAACCCACCGAACAAGTCCTTTCCACCGAGGGCCGCAACTGCGCCAAGGTCTGCCTGACCATACTGGAGACGGTGAATAGTGGGCTGAAAGGGTTGCGGAAGGGATGTATTAAGAGTGGTAGCGGTATGCAAATCAATTTATCGAATGGCCTAGGAAAAGCCTTCCAACGACTAGGCTACGATGTTGCCTCTAGTCCAACCACCCAGGACGGTGAGTTACGTAATAAGAAGGGTTTCACCGGTGAGAACATTTACAGTGATCTCCTTGTCTACAAACATAATACTGGAAAAGGTGATAAAACATATCAACTCGTCAGCGACGATGACGACAACAAGGAGAAGAAAGATAAACATGGTGTCATTAGACAGCTCAACACCCATCTTGGCAGATATTACTACGTCTCTCACTACTACATTCCTCCGAATCCGAAATCACCAAGTAACATCTATCACTTGTTACAATGGCTCCTCGGTTTATACTTTAATCCGATTTATAGTACGCTTGGTGAGTACTTCAAGGAATTGTTTGAGAAGCCCGAAAATTATAAAGATAAGAAATATTCCGAAATTGATGAAAGCCAACTTAGCTTACTTGCCACCACAACAATTAGACCAAAGACATTAAAAGACACACTCCGATTGGTGTGTTTAGACTCCGCAGACACTCTGATCGCCTTTCTAGGCCACGGCCATCCTGACGGCCGATATGCCGTTGACTTTTACACAAACACCGACGGTTTGTCGTACCCTAGCAACGCCGGTCAATGTTTTGACATGTTGGTAGATATATTGAATAGAGTGTTTTATCAATTGCGTTTCTTATGTACCCAGTGTTCCAACAGCCGTAGTCGTGGTGGTTGGCAAGACTGCCACTATGGCCAGGGAGTTGGCGGTTCATCATGGAACTGCAACACCATGCAGTGCCCCAACCAAATAGCGAACCAAAACGGAAACCAAAGCTCTGACCAAAACTGCGAGCAACCATGTAATCAACATCCCAAGTGCGGCATCAAATCACCACTGCAGTCGTTCCTTGAAGACGGCCTTGTCGGCTTCTTGCGAGGCGCTGGAAAATGTATGCCATGGAAAATCACTGATTGCAGATTTAGTAATTAACAAGATACCTGAATACTTATGGAACATAAGATCTAAATTCTCCTACCTCTTGCTCACCCTCTGGTCGCTGTCGCTCCTCTACCTGCTGCACATCACCGTCGTCCGCCTCGACGTCCTGAGGATACGCTCCCACTTAAAATCACCTTCAAGCCACCGCATCGCCGCACAGTCCCTCCTCGCCGCCGCACGCGTCAAGGCACTCGCCAACGTCAAGTACTTCTCACCATAATCGTGCCTTCACTTGTGATCTGTGTATCAGCCACCCACTCACCCACCCACTCACATACTCACTCACTCACCCACCCACTCACCTCCCTCCTTCACTGGTCGCTTCGCTCCCTGCCTTCACCCCCTCCCTCACCTCCTCCGTCGGCGTCCTTCACCCAAAATACTTAATTTCCAAAAAATTCCTTTGACCTCCGAAACCGCCTCTCCTCAACCCATCTTCCTCCCTCATCGCCCTCTTTCGCCCCTTCGCTTCCCTCGCTGCCTCACTGCCTCCTCGGCCTAAAATCGTCTTTCCCCAAACTCCCCCAAATCGCCCTGAAAATGTGCCATTTCACCTCCTCTAATTGCCCTTTAACTCTTTTTCCGCTTTCTTTTCTCACCTCTTTTGCCCTCCCTCCTTGGCCTCCTTCGTTGGCCTCCATCGACTGGTTGATCCAGGTTAAGCATGGGAATGGTGGTGATGGTAAAGGGCTTGAGGAGTTGGCCAAAGCTTTGAAAAAGTTGATTGGTGATGCAATTAAAAAGGCTGATGATAGTCTTAAAGAAAAAGAAGATGAACTTAAATGCGCTGATAAATACGATAATGAGCATCACAACAAGCATTGTAAGTCGCTTAAGGATCAAATTGCTACAGCCAATGAACCTGAAAAATCTAAAAAGAAATCCGTCTTGAAGAAACATTATGATGAAGTTCATTACCTTACTGAGAATGCCAGACAAAGAGCCTTGGATGATATTGATGCCCGCCGTATCTCTCTTGGTCAGCTTGCCGGACAGCTTTCGGGTTTAATTGGTGGTGGAGATGAAGTTAAAGATGCAATTTTGAGGGGCTTGCACAGCAATGTAACTCAGCTTGAAAAGCTTTTGAATGCATCGTGTGGAGATGAGGGGTGTGATTGTAATATTAAGAATTTCCGTGATAATGATCTTAAAAATCTTCAAGAGCATTTTAATGAAATTGATGAAATTGAAACAAAAATTAATAGCCTTCAAAAGCAAAAAGATGAAAAAAGTGAGGCGTCCGTAGGGACGCCGTCCGGCAGTGAGTCTGAGATTGAGAGGCAAATTGAGGCAGAAAAAAAGAAACTTGACGAGCAAAATAAGCTTCTTGAAAGGCAAATTACACAGCTTCAAAAGCAATTAGAAGAGCCTAAAGAGCAAATTAACAAGAAAATTCAGGAGCTTACTGACAAAATTGCTGAGCTCCAAAAGGAAATTGAGCAGTATAAAGAGGCACAAAATCCTGATAAAAAAGTTGAAGATATCTCTATTCCCTACAATCTTTCCAATTCTCTTGAAACTGAGCAGGCTAAATTGAAGTCTCATAAGGCTTCGTTGGAGTCTCTTGATAGTCTTGGAAAGCTTATGAAATTTCATCAGAGTGTTGAAAATGCAGACAATAAAAATTGTAAAGATATTTTAGATAAATTGTGTACAGGTCTCCAAACATTTTTAGGTTACAACTCTAATTCCAAAGGCTACACCGGAGAAGGGATTGTGTACTCGGACCTCGACAGGCTGTGCGACGGGGTGATGTCTTTCCTCCTTGAATGTCTTAAGGGCAGTGAACCTTTGTTAAAGCATTATTATGGTGATATTACAAATACTATTACTGAATTAGAAAGTAAAATAGGTAAGGGCCTTGGTGTTCCAGAATTTGCGCAGGCCATTGGGATTGTGCAGGCGGGGCTGGAGAGGTATGAGAGTGGCATGGAGGAGAGGATTAATCGTTTTAAAAGTTGGTATGACGCAATGATGAATACTGAAATAAAGGATTTAAAAGGCGAAATGTCAACATTTCATGATAAGAACCTTGAAGATCAGTTGAAAGCTGTGTCCTCCAAGGCAAAGATGTGTCTTCACAGGGCAACATTCGGCGAAAAATCAAAAAGTGAACTCGATGAAAAATTGCGTGAAATGCTTGATAAACCTGTAAGTTTAATCAAACAGGCTGCACACGATTTTAGGGAAATTAATGAAAATGGCCTGCTTAACCATCAGGCAAGGGCTGTGGACACGGCACTTCAGACCCAGCAAGCTGCCTTAAACAACGCTATAAATACTGGGTCCCAAAAGTTTCAAAACACTGTAGGTGGTGAATTTGACAAGATAAGAAGTAGTTTGAATGACCTGAAAGAAAATACTTTAAAGACTGAAATGCAAAAGGTGAGGAGTGCAGTGGAGGACGCGAAGGTATTTGTACAAGACTGTATAACGGATTTTGATAAAATATATGAACACAATATTCTGAATGAGTTCAACAGTATCAATCAACAAATGACTGATATCACTAAATCAAATAAAAGCGTAAAATATGAATCAAAATTGTTCGAAGAGGTCGAGAAACTTAACAAGGCGGTATTAGAGTTGGAAAAGCTGTATCAGGGAAAATTGGTGGATGTCAAAAAGAAAGTTGACAAGGCGGTTGGTCTAACTGATAATGAGCCTGGTAGTGTGTTGGCGGAGCTTACGAAATTGGATGACCACCTGCGCACGGATTTGGAACGAGTGCGAGGGGATATAAAACTGCAGATTGATGGTTACATAGACCATCAGGTTCGGGGCTTCATGAAAGCGGTAAAGCAGGCTTGGAATGCTGGTAGTAGTGGTGCCGCATCGATGTTGTATAGCAGCCTGAATGGAGACCTAAAGAATTCGTTCCAGACCGTTCATGCACCTACATCTACATACATAACAAGTGCATTGAAAGCCATAAATAGTGACTTCAAGCTAAACAGTGGTTCACCAATTCCCGATCCAGATACCCTCCACCTGATTAGAAACCTTAAGACTGATATAGAGAATACGCTTAAGAAAGTTATAACGGATCCTAAAGAAAATATAAAGATCAACGAGAGCTTCATGAACCATTATTACGTACAAACTATGAAAGAAGAACGTCGAGAAGGTGCGCTTAGAACAAAAATCAAGCAGATTAAAGGGAAGTTTGGCGGCGGCTTCCAAGGTGACGGAGAAAACACAAAGATACATTTGGAAACACTTGAAGGATACAATACTCCGCCAAGCACATCCAGCTCCAGTGAAGGCGCCAAGCCTGCGTATAACAAGGCGGTCGCCAGTGTGAAACAAATGGTTGACAAAATGGAACGGCTTCCAGAATTCGTTGAACAGCGTAAGCTGGCAGCCGATGAAATTATGAAAGACATTAAAACAAAATTTACGACACTGCAAGGAATGATTGACGACGTCGATTTAATTGTAAATGCTGCGGAGAAAGGCTTACAAAATGCCATTGACTCAGTTGGCAACGCGGTAAAAAAAACTGAGCAGGACATAACTCAGGAAAGCAAGAATCTTCAAGCTCAACTCCTCGCCGCCGTTAAATCCTCTTTCGATACCGTCAAGAATTCCGTCCAATCCCTCTTTGCTCGTCAGAAGCAGGCCGAGCTCACGCAGCTGCAGAGCGTCGTCACGGAGCAGTTGGAGAAGATAGAAGAGATAATCAGGGAGGATAAATCAACAGGGGTGAAGGGTTTTTTGACGATATTAAGAGAGGGGATGTTTGAAAATTTCCTGAGTAGGTCGCATCCTTTAAAAGATGGCATGAAACTATCAGAGTTGGCTGTACAAGCTGTAATTTGTTTTGAGGGTCTGTTTGAATATTTTGATGAAGAATTGACACCAAAGAACTCCCGACTTGTACGTACATTGCATTCTCAGTCTACAGGTCCTCATGCTGCTATGGTTGAGAACATCAGAAGTGTTCTCAACGCCTTGCTTGGTCACTTAATAAATACTAATCTTAAAACATATGACTTTGACCACACCTTTAGAGAGAAAGTACATGAGCTCACAGTGTCGGTAGGCGCCTTAAGCGCTAAAACGTTCGGCGAGGGAAGGAATCCCGAGCTGCTGAACATCTTTAAGAGTGGCATGTCGGCCCTCACCACTGAACTCTCCCGCGCGTATGTGAACGTTTATAGCGGGAAAACTTTTAGTCAATTAGTGATTCCCAAAACGGACAGTGATCCACAATCCTCCGACAAGTTAACCCCCGAGGGCCGCAACTGCGCCAAGGTCTGCCTGACCATACTGGAGAGGGTGTCTCATGATCTTATGAATTTGAGAAAAGCATGTAACAAGAATACTAAAGGAAAATGGCACGACAAGAGTATTTATTTGTATGAAAATGGCAAAAAAGGCGAACACACACTGGGTGACTGGTTGAAGAAGCACGGCTTTACAGTGCCGAAGGATAAGGACACCCAAAACGGTGAGTTGAACAAGGACAAGAAGGGTAACGAAATTTATGATCTACTTGTCAAAGATGATGAGAAACATGTCTACAAGAAGGATAACAGTAAGGAAGATGAAGGCCCACTAAGGACACTGCGTCGCCACCTTGAACAATACTACAAAGTCTCTCACTACAACATCTCTGCAAAGCCAAAGGCACCGACTACTGTTAACCAGATGCTGCAATGGCTTACCGGTTTACAGTATAATCCAGTATATGCTCCACTTTGCAATTACTTCAAGCAATTGTTCCCCAAGCCCAAGGGAGATGAGAGAGATTATAAGGAGATACCCAGCGACCAACTAAAACTAGAATACCATCAGTACGCGAGAATTACACATACAGAACTAACAGACACGCTTGAGACTCTATGTCGTCAGTCCGAGAAAATGCTAATTACCTTCCTAGGCCATGGCCATGCCGACGGCATCTACGCCGTTGAGTTCTCAAACAATTCAAATAATCTGTTTTATCCCGATAGCCCTGCTACCTGCTTAGATATGCTTGTGAATGTATTGAATAGAGTGCATTATCAACTGAATTTCATATACAAGATGTGTCATAACGGCCGTAGTAGGGGCGGTTGGGAGGAATGCCACTATGGCAGGTATATTGGTGGGTCACATTGGAACTGCAATGAGAAGCAGTGTCCCAACCAAAACGCTGACCAAAAAGGTGACCAAACGTGTACCCAAAAGCACGCCCAAAACTGTGACCAACGTGTAAGTTGTGGCCTCAAGTCGCCGTTACAGTCGTTCCTGGAAGACGGGCTTCCCGGTTTCCTTCCTCACCAATTCAAGAAGCCTGGTTGTAAGCTGGAATGCACTGTGCCCAATCACCAAGGCATTCCATGTCTCACCCCAATGGGCTTTGCTGATATTTCCCAAGCGGCGTCACATACGAAAACCGGCAAGCACCTTTTTGGCGCACTTTATTATTTTTGCGGCACCACGTATGCTCTCACTAAGCTGTGTAGTGCGCTGAACTGTCTGCTGCGAACGCCGCCCAAATCATTAGGGGACATGTTAGCTTTCTACCATAAATTCCTTGAGAATTATTCGAGACAAAAGCACAAGCAAATCGCATTTGACGAAGCAGTCCGAAAGGCCAACTTCGGGAATCCAGATACTAAATTGGACATTGTGTCTATACAAGGCAGCAAGTCGCACACTGCTAAACATTCCCAAGGTGACTTATTTGGTATAATTAGCTGCAACACTTCCGAGTCCTCCAAAAATCCAGTCGTCCCCTGTGGATCGTATATGCAGCCCCTTACATTAGATGTAGTCTCCTTGTTTTCCGAAATGCGGGCTGCCAACTATCTTTCATGGATTGTATATATAACAGAGACCTTTTATGACTTACTTAAGAAACTATATGAAGATTGTTGCAATAACTGCAACAAACCAGGCACCAAATGCCATGATAAAGCCTGCGATGAAAAATGCACAGTCAAATCCTTGTATGAAACTCCGAAATATGCTGCGCAATCTCAGCAGTCCAGCCCTCAACATCAGAATGTCAATCACATTGACGGCTGCAATTCCATTGTAGAGTGCACGAATATGCATCCATTACTGTACAAATATGGTTTCACATTTGAAAGCCCATATGACTTAAGTGGCAAAAATGGTATTGATAAGCAACGCTCATGCAAAGATTTCTGTATGGCATTGCGGAACGTAATTGGTAAAAATTGCGTTCTTGTTGAGCTAATCCACAAAATTGATGACTTTGTCTGCACTATCAGATATCCCTTTATGTGTACTTTATTAGCCCTCTGGTCGCTCTCCTTGCTGTACCTGCTGCACATCACCGTCGTCCGCCTCGACGTCCTCCGCATACGCTCCCACCTGCGCTCGCCCTCAAGCCACCGCATCGCCGCGCAGTCCCTCCTCGCCGCCGCACGCGTCAGGGCACTCGCCAACGTCAAGTACTTCTCACCATAATCGTGCCTTCACCCACCCACTCACTCACCTAATCACTCACTCACCTAATGACTCAACCACTCACTCAACCACCCACTCACCCACCCACTCACCCACCTAATCACTCACCTACTCTCTTACTCACCCACTCACCCACCTAATCACCCACTCACCCACTCACCCACTCACTCACCCACCCACTCAACCACCCACTCACTCACTCACCCACCCACTCAACCACTCACACACTCAACCACTCAACCACTCACTCACCTAATCACTCAACCACTCACTCACTCAACCACTCACTCAACCACCAACTCACTCACTCAACCACATACTCAACCACTCAACCACTCACCCACTCAACCACTCACTCAACCACCCACTCAACCACTCAACTACCCACTCAACCACCCACTCATCTACTCACCTCCCTCTTTCACTGGTCGCTTCGCTCCCTCCCTCACCCTCCATCACCTCCTTCGTCGGCGTCCTTCACCCAAAACCTCTTTTTCCACCTTTCCCCTCCACCCCTTAAATCGCCTCTTTTCAACCCATCTTCCTCCTTCATCGCCCTCTTTCGCCCCTCCACTTCCCTCACCCTGTCCACCCACCTCCCTCGCTGCCTCACTGCCTCCTTGACCTAAAATCGCCTTTCCCCAAATTCCCCCGAATCGCCCTGAAAATGTGCCATTTCATCCCCCTTTACTTCTTTTAACCCTCCCTTAATCCACCTTTAATCCAACTACACTGACCATTATAATGAAGTTCATTACCTTACAGAGGATGCTAGAAAAGGAGCCTTGGAGGATATTGATGCCCGCCGTATCTCTCTTGGTCAGCTCGCTGGACAGCTTTCGGGTTTAATTGGTGGGAGTGAGGAAGTTAAAAATGCAATTTTGAATGGTTTATACAGTAATGTAACTCAGCTTGAAAAGCGTTTACAAGCATCTTGCGGAGGTGAGGGGTGTGATTGTAATATTAAGAAATTCCGTGATGACCTTAAAAATCTTCAAGATACATTTAAGAAATATGATGAAATTGCAACAAAAATTGACAGCCTTCAAAAAGATATTGCTGAAAAAAGTAAGGCGCCTGGAAAGGCGCCGTCCGGCGGTGGTCCTGAGATTGCGGAGCTTAATGAGAAAATTGAGGCAGAAAAAAAGAAGCTTGAAAAGGAAAATGAGTCTCTTAATGAGCAAATTAAAGAGCTTAAAAGTGCTTTAAATGCTTCTAAAATGAAAATTGATGAATACATTCAGAAGCTTACTGCCAGCGTAAGAAAGTGTGAAGAGGAAATTAAGCAGTATAAAAAGGATGAAAAACAGCGCCATAAAAAGCAGTATAATGAGGATCTTAAAGATGCAGATATCTCCATTCCCTCCCATCTTTCCAATCCTCTTGCAACTGAGCAGGCTAAATTGAAGTCTCATGAGGCTTCGTTGGAGTCTCTTAAAAATCTTGAAAAGCTTATTGCATTTCATGAGAGTGTTGAAAAGAATCAAGATGGAGAATGTTTAAGCATTTTAAACAATTTGTGCACCGGGCTGGAGAAGTTCCTTGGTTACCAAGAAACTTCCAAAGGCTACGATGGCGAGGGCATCGTGTACTCGGACCTTGACAGGCTCTGCGACGGGGTGATGTCTTTCCTTCATGGAGTTTTGCATAACATTAAGCCTAAATTAGGCCTGCATAAAGAGTCTATAAATGACGCTATTAAGTCTCTTAACACCAATAAACACTCTGGTAAAGAAGGTTTTAATGCTGCGATTGGCGAAGTGGTCCAGGGGGTGAGGGAGTATAATGAGGGTGTGAGGAGGAGTAATGAGAGTGTGAAAAGTGTTATTAATAATTTCATAGGCGATGTAATTTTACTTGGTAGCGATTTAAATAATTTTACAGGGCACAATCATGTTGACGTAATTAACGTAAAAGTGGAGGCGTGTATCAACCATGCCAAGGACTATGCCGTTGGCATGGAACATGCCGAACGACATGTAAAAGATCTGCAAGATGAATTAGAAAGTAAGGTGAGGAACGCAACTAAAAATATCGAATATCAGGCGCAACAAGCAAGAAGTATCCATGCGAGTCAAAAAAAGGAATTGGAGCGGGTGACCCGTTTGGTTGAGAGTGAGCTTAGGGAGGCCAAAGAGCGTATTAATGAGACAGTTAAACGTGACATCACAGAGTTGTTTGAAGGGTTAAATGTTAAAATTACGGCGCTGAAAGGAGAAATTCAAGGTGTTAATGATGTGTTGGAAAAGCATGTAAGTGAGTTGGGAGAGTTGATTAATAAAGCACACGAAGCTGTTGTGGCAGCCATGGCGCAGGTTGAAAAAATATTGGATGAAGTTGGTAACCAAAGCCCGCAAAATCTAAATAAGCAAGAACTCTTGAGAGCTATTGGCACGTTGGAGCAAAAAGGTGTCGATTTCTATAATGCGTATGACACAGCGAAAAAGGATTTGCCGAATGTCGTCAGGAACGTCACAAAGGCGGTAGAGGGATTGGATGGAAAGATTCAGAAGGATCTGGAAATATTAAGAGCCGTTATTGACGCGAAAATATTGCAGTACGTAAAGAAAGCGAAGGAACAGTTTAAGGCCATCAAGGATGAGATTGGGGACACGCAGGGTACACCAAGTACGGACAGTGTATTATATAATTGGAGTAGGCTCATACACCAGATCACATGGCTTACCGGTAAGATTTATGAGAAGAATAAATCTATGAAAAAAGAAGGCTTTCTTGGCGATATTATGCAGCACGTGGACGACTATGTTGCAAAGTTCAAAGACCAAGAGACGTTTGGAGAAAAAGTTTTGAAGGAGTGGGTTGGTGATATTTTGGGATTGGGGAATCACAGACTTGACACGTATGTTAGCACAAAGAAGGGTAGCTTCAAGGATAAGCTGAAAAGCATTACCAGTGGCAAAGACGACAAGTTGCGTGACCCAATTAAGAAGGTTTTTAAGAATAAGCTTGCGGAAGCAAATATTTATAATGGCAAAGTATCGTTCCTCACCGAAACTACCAAAAACATCACAAACGATTTGATTGCTGTCAAAACAGCTTGCGAGCAATTCGCTCAGCAGCTTAATGAGAAGATTGATGGCGGCAGGGATTATACATTTGCTGGTGAAATAGCCGACCAGATTGAGACAGATGGGCCGGATGGCATTCTTGAAAAGCCGAGTAAGACCGGCGATCAGAATCTTAAAATGGCCATCTATCAAATCCTCCTAAAACTCGCTGCTAAAGCCAAGTCAACCGCCACCCAACTCGATTGGCTGGTCAAAACTGGGGGTATCAATGGAAACATCGGCAAGGTGAATGAGGCTATAACCAAAATCACTGAAATCAAAACAAGACTTGGAGACGGTAAAAATCAAGAGCCAGGCAGTAAGATTACGCAGGCATTGGAGGAGGTGAAGCTGCAGATTCGCCAGCTTAACGACACTCTCAACACAGAAATTGAAAAGCAGATTGGATGGGAATTTGAGGGTGCTGATTCAGATCCTCGTAAAGTTCCGGATCTCATGACGAATTACCGTGACCATGTAGGAGATGGTGGTTTTCCTAGTGAGACCAGTGTTCAGGGGAATATTAAGAAACTTCAAGAGACAGCACTGAACCCTCTAAAAAACTTGGCAGATAAAATTAATGCCAAGAGCATCGGGGGAGATGCTAACATCGTTCGCGCCAACCTAGGAAGACTGTGTACTGCCATTCTAAATGCGGCATCTGCACGTAAAGACAGCGCACACAAAAAATTGGGCGAGCTGAAAACTTTGATTTCACGAGGAAATACCGACGTTGACAACACTCTTAGCAAGTTGAGAGAAGGTCTCAACAATCTTAGAGTAAAGACGTTGTTCCCGTTAATCCAACAGGCAGAGACAATCACTGAGGAAGCCTCAGTGCATAGCAAAAAAATGATCTGGTATATTGAGCACCAAGTGACTCAACAACTTAATGGAGCTCGGGATACGATCACCCAAGCCCTCCAAACTAAATACGTTCTCTTCCTGAAATCCCAACTCACGGAGTTCTCCACGAAATGTCAAAGTGAATTGAATGACCTACCCGCGCAGATCACCGCGGACGCCGAAAAGGGCTTCAAAGGCTTCATGGGGGTGCTCCACGAGAAATTAACGGAAATTCAATTGCCTACGAATTTGGATGGCAACTCCAAACTGAGAGATCTATCTCCCAGAACAAAAGCCTTCTTCAGTAGCCTACTTGACACTCTGAACGGCAATAAGGACATCATGGCCAAGCCTCTAAAAATCAACGAGCTTTCTGCATCTCTCAACATTCTATTCGCTGACCTCAATAAATACAACAGAGATTTCCAAGATCACCTAGCCGCATTAGGCAGACTCATTCGCGATATGCGTCCCACATCTTACAATGACGAACGCAATCCTTTGTTGCAAATACTTAGGGGAGGCGTCCATCTATTGTACAATCAGCTTGAAATGGCGTACGTCTCATCGTACGACAGTGAGCAAATCACCTGGGAATATAACTCCAGGCCGACGCCCGAAGCAAAACAAATGCGTCAAGGTTCTCTTGACAATAATAAGCATTGTTCTCAGTGGTCTATACAATGTTAAGAGTGGGGTGGAGAAAGACAACCAGAAAACGTATAAAATATATAACACCAATTCTTCTCGGAGCCTTCACGCTTTGCTCTTTTCCCAACATGGCTACGATGATAGGCGGCACGGCAACGCAGAACACGGCGAACTGAATCATAAAGACAATATTACTGCCGAGCAAATTAAAACATTACTTGCGACATCCTTAAGTCTCACGAACAATAAAACGCTGCAAGACTGGAAGACAAAGAACAAGAAAAAGAACGACACGGAAATCATTCTTGTCCTTCAATTCCTTCACCACCATATAACCACTTACAATAGCGTTTCTCACCTCCAAATCCACAAGTCACCTAAATATCCTTGCACTGTTCGTGATATGTTGGCGTGGACTGCTGGACTTAAGCATAATACTGTGTTCAGCATAATTCCACGGCATTGCAAAACACTGCTTGATGATGACGTCAATAAAGGCGACGATGTCATGAGGGAATGCATCAGCAACCTGTATGTCAATGTTGCACTTACATGTGACATTTCGTACAAAGCCCTCATCACAATCCAAGGCCACGGCCACGGCTCCCAGACCGCTGATTATCCATACGCTTGTAATTTCCATGATAACTCACTAAACTTCTATTACCCTCAAAATGCCACCGAATTAATGGACATGTTAAAAGATATTTGTACACGTTTATTACGTTCACTCTGTTTCCTACATTCACAATGTAAGTACACAGCGGGTGAAGGTAACGGCTGGGCCGACTGTCATTACGGCCGCAACGTGTCAGGTAATCAGTGGGATAACCGTAGGCCTAGCAGCCAAGCAATCACCCAACCAAACGGTCAACCAAATCCCCAACCAAACTGTCAACCAAAATCCCCTCTACAAGCTTGCCTAACAGACTGTTTACCGGGGTGCTTACCACATAAATTAATGTCCGTTGGGTGTTCATCAAAATGCTTAACATGCCCTAAGAATTCACCAGGGCAGCAGTGTATTACCCCTATGGGCTTTTGGGACTTGAGCGATGCGGCGTCTATTACAAAAAATGGTAACGTTATATGCAAGATCTTAGAAAGCATATGCGGTGATGCGTCCTCAATTCTGCCCACACTACTCAACTCCCTTATGTGCATATCGCCAATGCCGCCGAAATCGTTAGCAGATCAATTTTCTTTTTTTCGCAAACGTATCCAAAGACTGGGCTGCTGGCAGATATACTGCGAATACCGATTTCATAACTCATATTCTTTCGAACACTATTCCATCGATGTCAATAAAGTTGTATGAGACAGAGGCATTCGAATTCACGCAGCATATTCAATCATTATCCGGTCCAATGTTTAACCACCCAGTCAAAGTTACGGATACGTCAAAGCACTCAGACTTATATAGCCTTTGCACGCATGTTGCAACAGATTCGGCACGTGGATGTCCTGCATCCAACTCGCATTGCGGTCCATATATGCGACCTCTCAGTCTCGACATTTATCACACATATGCTATTAAGCACGCAAATCTGTGTTTGTCGTGGATTACATATTTGGCATTCGACTTTTACAATCTTCTGAAGGCGCTGATAGAGGACTTCTGCAACATTGATTGTAGAGCCTGCGGATGTTCAAAATGTAAGTGTCCCATCGGCAAACATGGTGTAGAAAAAGACTGCACTTGCAAAAGTGTCGTGCACTGTAATGGTGTTACGATGACACTCTATCGGTATGGATTCACTTTTGGTGATTCTATGAATTTAATGAAAAATCCCGACAGTAAGTCATGCCGTGATTTCCACACTCAGCTCAGCAATGTCATCGGCTCCACGCATTTTAGCACATTACTGGAGTCATGTGATAATATAATATATTACATCCGACATCCCTTCATGTTATTATTGTTAGCCCTCTGGTCGCTGTCGCTCCTGTACCTGCTGCACATCGCCGTCGTCCGCCTCGACGTGCTGAGGATACGCTCCCACCTGAGATCGCCCTCAAGCCACCGCATCGCCGCGCAGTCCCTCCTCGCCGCCGCACGCGTTGGGAGAATAGGCAACGTCAAGTACTTCTCACCATAAGAGTGCCTTCACGTGTGATCTGTGTATCACCCACTCACATACTCACATACTCACCCACTCAACCACTAACCACTCACCTAATCACTCACCCACTCACCCACCCACTCAACCACTCAACCACTCAACCACCCACTCAACCACTCAACCACTCAACCACCCACTCAACCACCCACTCACCCACTCACTCACTCACCTAATCACTCACTCACTCAACCACTTACCCACCCACTCACCCACTCAACCACCCACTCACCCACTTACCCACCCACTTACCCACCCACTCATCTACTCAACCACCCACTCAACCACCCAACCACCCACTCACTCACCCACTCACTCACCCACCCACTCACTCACCCACTCAACTACTCACTCACTCAACCACTCAACCACTCAACCACCTAATCACTCACTCACTCACTAACCCACTCAACCACGCACTCACTCACTCAACCACTCACTCACTCAACCACTCAACCACCTCCTCTCTCACTGGTCGCTTCGCTCCCTGCCTTCACCCTCCTCCATCACCTCCTCCGTCGGCGTCCTTCACCCAAATCCTCATTTTCCACTTTCTCCCTCCACCCCTATACCGCCTTACTTCAACCCATCTTCCTCCTCCATCGCCCTCTTTCGCCCCTTCACCTCCCTCACCCTGTCCACCCACCTCCCTCGCCCCGTCACTGCGTACTGCCTCCTTGACCTAAAATCGCCTTTTCCCAAATTTCTCCAAATCGCCCCAAAAATGTGCCTAATAATTCCCATAATATCCTTACTAACCTGTGCTCTGGCTTGGAGAAGTTCCTTGGATACCAAGAAACTTCCAAAGGTTACGATGGCTCCGGCATCGTGTACTCCGACCTTGACAGGCTCTGCGACGGGGTGATGTCTTTCCTTCATGGTGTTTTAGATAACATTAAGCCTAAATTAGGCTTGCATAGTCATCACATTAATGAAGCTGTAAGCCTTCTTGAAGCCAATAAACACTCTGGTAAAGACGGTTTTAATACTGCGATTAAAGCAGTGGTCAAGGGGGTGAAGGGGTATAATGAGGGTGTCAAGAAATCCAATCAGGAAGTTAAATCTGCAGTAGAAGCTTTACAAAATAAGGTAAGTGATACATTTGTTAGAGATGTAAAAAATATTTTGCAGGACAAGTTTGATGAGAGGACGAAGCAGAAGATGGAGCACAGTGCTCAAGAAATCAAGTCGGCGGAGACTCTCATCGGTGGAAAACTGGAGGACTGCGAGATAAACGCTTCGGCGTTTGTAGATTCACTTAGCAGACATAGCGAAACTATTGATAATTTTAATAATACTTTATGTAATAGAGTGCGTGGCGTAATTAGTAGTGTAGAACATGAGAAAGTGCGACTGCATGACGTGGCGGCGAAGGAGAAAGACATCTTAACGGCGGCGACGGACAAGATTGGTGATGCATTGAACAAACTGAAATGTAGCGTTAACGATAAGATTAAAGTAGACGTTGGGAAGCTTGTCAAAGAGGTGAAGGAGGCCTTAAAGCCGATATTGGCGGATCTTAAAAACATTGGAAATTTGCTTAAGGGATATATTAACGATTTGACGGAGTGGATTGCTAAGGCTGAGAAAGCTGTGGAAGAATCGTTCAAGCTTGTGCAGGAGATATTAGATGCTGTTAGAGAAGACTCTACGTTCAACAATGTCAAGGACATAAAGGGGGCGGCCCAGAAGATTACGCAAAAAGCCGAACAGCTTCAGGGGATTGCGACCTTTGGCAAAACGGAAGTCGACACATTAGTCAAAAAAGCCCTCACGGCCGTGAAAGCGATGGACGGGCAGCTGAAGCAGGATTTGTTTGGGGTGAGGGGGGAGATAAAAAGTAAGGTGGATGCTATTACGGAGAGGATTGGGGCGCTGTATGGAGTTGTTAAATACGGTGATGTGAATGGTGTGGGAGGGGAACAAAAATTGATTGCAGAAGTTATGAAGACAATTCTTACGAAGGTTGCGGAGATTAAAAATCCGCCAAATGGCCTGGAGGGAATTGTTGGTGATCAAGGCACGTATAATACTAATATCGTCACACCCCTTACTCAACTAAACTCCAAAGCCCTTGAACTTACCAAAGAGTTCATCGACGCGCAGGCGGCGGAGCTGGAAGAAAAGATAGAGAGGCAGCTGGAGAGCATGCCGGCAGACATACACGCACAGCATAATTCCGATTTCGGACGGTTTAAGAGTGAAATTGCTGAGCTAAAAATCCAATCTAATTTGCAGCTTAGCATCAGCGGTGAACAGAATATCGAACATCGTCAGAGTCAAATTGAGGCAAGAAAGCTTCGGTTGAGTGAGGTGCGTAGAAGCATTGTATCTGCAATAAATAGCGCAAACGATGCTTGGCAGCGCAAGATACATGCTGTATTGTCGCCGTTGCATTCCAAAGTGAACACTATACAAACCCTTCAGGCCACTGACGTTAAATCTGTACTAGACACAGTTTGTCAACAAATTAATGAGCTAATTAAACTTGCCAAATGCGTTAGTGATGAGCAGTGGAAAGGTGCTAGAACTGACTGGAACAATTTTAAACAGTATGTTGATCCGCTCAAGCTCCAGGTGGACCAATATGTTGAGGAATATAGGCAATCCGGGAATCAGCATGTACGTTATGCAGCGCAATTGTCTCAGCAGTTGTCTTCAGAGTTAGTACGCCAAGTCCATGGTGTTGTCCCCGGTGCTTACCAATGCGCTAACAGAATCTCTGGTCATCTTCAAGGTGTCATCGCTTCCCAAAAGGCCAACCAACCACAAAGTCACGGCCGCGGATTGCCGACTTGGCCACAACAACATTACCGTAGTGCCTACGGCGGCTATAACAGTTACGCCGGAGGACAGTATCAACCTTACGCCCAACAGCTGTCTCTAACCGATGCAAACAACGCGCCCACACTCGAGACTCTCCTCAAGAACTTCGAGACTCAAGTCAAAGAGCAACTTAAAACATTAACTACTAATGTCGGCTTGAAAGCCGAGCCAGGCAGCGTCCACGCTCAATTGGACGCCGTTAAGAAGAACGTTGACGACCTGAACAGTAAGCTTGACACGGCGTCTAACTCCGCCCCCCAACCAGGCACCGCCCAAGCCGTCGACGACGCGATCACGCAGGTGACGACCACGCTCGACGCGCAACTGCCGGATGGCGACGGTGAAAAAGTTAGCATTAAAAATGCCACAGGCAATAGTTTCCCGCTTTACAAAACTCACGTCAAACAAGAAAACATTGACTCACTCAGTGGCGACAACATCGAACAGCTTGCAGGCGCCCTTCCAGACAAGATCAAGGAAATCAGGACGCAGGTGACCGGCACTCTGTCTGGGATCGATCCTCTCAAAAGCGCAATTGACACTAGTGTCAGAGAAATAACTACCAAATTTAGTGAACTGTGCGAAAAAGTTAGAAGAGCGGCGGCTGCGGGGGAGGATAAGGGTCAAGTGGATGACACTCTCAGAGGACGGCTAAACGACCTGAAGCAGAAGATTGGCTTGAATAACTCCAAGGAAGGTACGCTTAAAAAACTATTACAACAACTTGACGAGCTCCACACCAGTCTTGTGAAGGGTCCCATCTTTAAGCTCAATCATTTCCTAGATACGCACGCCGACAAAATGCTCGACGTGCACGTGAAATCACTTCACAAACAGGTCACCAACACAGTCGAAGACACCAAAGCGTTGCTCACCACCCAGGCGAAAAAGGACTACGTGACCGCCATGCAGCTCCTCATCCAGCAGTTCGCCGAGAGGGTTAGGAGCGACTTGAATGGACTGCCTCAAGCAATTAGTGACGATTTAGAACAAGGACACAAAGGCTTTATGGCGAAATTGCATGAGCAATTTCTGAATCGCTTTAACACTTATCTCAGAACCTATAACCTAGAGAGCAGAACATTAAGAGATATCGCCGGTACAGTATGTTACCAGTTTAGCGATTTCATGGAGGCATTATACAAGCAGGAAGATTTCACAAACAATCGCATATATGTTGAGCCTTCCAGGAAGGCATTGCAGACGTTGCTTACGCATCTTGCCAATTCACAGCACTTCGACCGCATTTTCACTGACAACCTTAAAAACTTAAGAGGCACCTTTAATTACTTCGCACCTAAGAGATTCCACACGCCAAACAGCACGTTGATAGATCCCTTGAGAGAGGGAATTAGAAGCCTGGCCAAAGAGGTGGGCTACGGATACGTCAACACGTACTCCGGTGAGAAGCCTATAGATGGCTGGGTGACCAAGGTCACTGACGCCAAGGCATCAGAGCCGAAAACCAAATTAACTGATGAAGGCAAAAATTGCGCGAAGGTATGCCTTACCGTATTTTACACCCTAAACTCCACCTTGCAGGAAATGAAGCAGAATTGCGGCAGCAATTGGCGTGGAGACAGTGTTACTAAATCCACAAAGCTCGGACAGTTCCTGGCCGACCAAGGGTATGACGTATCTGACGCAGGCAAGCAGAATGGCGAAATAGACATGGAGCTGAGAGGTGGGCAAGTTAATAAATTCCTTGTAGGCTCCGACAATAAACACGTCTACAAAGCCGATGGAACTATAAGCACACTGACAACGCTGTACGATTATCTTGAAACATATAATCACGCTTGCCACCTCCGCCACGTAGACGGCGCGAAAGCGCCACTTAGTGTATTCCATATGCTCTCTTGGCTTGCTGGTCTTACATATAGTCCCATGCTCGGCGCAATGTATGACCGCTTCATATCCTTGTTTGATAAACCAACAGAATACAAAGCGCACAACCACTCTGCCAACTACACTCTAGATGCATATCCGTCGACTATCACTGCCGAACAAATGGAAACGTCCCTGTATGATATTATGTCACAGTCCCACGACCTCTTAACTTCCATACTGGGCCACGGCCATGCGGGTGGCATTTATGCGTGTGATCATTTGAACAACAGCAATAACCTCTTATATCCCAATAACCCAGGTGCCTGTTTTGACTTGTTGGCTGAAATATTGCAGAGACTCAGCCAGCAACTCAGCTTCCTATACTACCAGTGTACGTATCCGATGGAGCTGGGCGGGTGGTCCGACTGCCACTACGGCCGCAATGTATCCGGCTATCACTGGCAGTGTAACACTACCCAATGCCCTGACCAAACATGTAACCAAAGTACTAACCAAAACGGTAACCAACGTGCCAACCAAAAAGGTGACCAACCATGTAAGCAACACCCTAGGTGCGGCGTTAATTCACCTTTACAGTCCTACTTAGAAGACGGGTTGCCTGGGTTTATGCCACATCCATTCAGCAAAACCGGTTGCCAAATTTCCTGTCAGATGCCTAACCACACTGGTAAACCATGTAAAACGCCGATGGGCTTTGCCGATATTGAGACAATGGCATCGCATATAAAAACTGGTCAGCACTTATTCAATGTACTTCATGGATTTTGCGGTAATACATATTCTCCCCTCCGCAAGCAGTGCGCTATATTTAATTGTCTTCTGCCCACTCCACCAAAAACACTAGGCGATATGTTTGCTTTCTACTACAATTTCTTAGGTGATTGGAATAGGAATGACAAG